GCTCATCAGCAAGAAGCGGTATGCTGGCCTGCTCTTCTCCTCCCGGCCTGATACTCACGACCGGATGGACTGCAAGGGCCTGGAGGCCGTGCGTAGGGACAACTGCCCCCTTGTGGCCAACCTTGTCACTGCCTCCCTGCGCCGCCTGCTCATCGACCGGTGGGTGGGATCCCCTCCCCTGAGACCAAGGAGTCCCGGCCCCCAGCCCCCTCCTCCCTTGGGGACCCAGGTGTCAGGCCCAGCTCGTCCTCAGTGGTGGAACGGTGGAAAGAGTGTGGGGTAGGACAGCTGTGGGTCTGGGCCCCGCCTCAGCCACCTTGCAGCCTGTGGCCTGGCCGCATCCCTCTCTGCCTTGGGCCTCAGCCCCCAGGGCACATCCTGGCCCCCCAGCCTTGGGGGTGGTGGAAGTACCAGCCTGGCCCTCAGCAGCCGCTGGCGACACTCCCCACCCCATTCCGGCCCTGCAGAGACCCGCCGGGTGCTGTGGCCCATGCGCAGGACGTCATCTCTGACTTGCTATGTAACCGCATTGACATCTCCCAGCTGGTCATCACCAAGGAGCTGACCCGCGCGGCTGCTGACTACGCCGGCAAGCAGGCCCACGTGGAGCTGGCCGAGAGGTCTGCCCCGGGGGGGGGGGGGTGTGCAGGACCGCCCAGAAATGGCCCCTCTCCTGCCAGCTGGGCACCACTTCCTGTGCCCCCGGCCACCCCACCAGCCCACCTGCCCTCACCGCCTGGCCTCCCCGGTCTCCCCGCAGGATGAGGAAGCGGGACCCCGGGAGTGCGCCCAGCTTGGGCGACCGTGTCCCCTACGTGATCATCGGCGCTGCTAAGGGCGTGGCTGCCTACATGAAGTCCGAGGTCAAGCCCACCTGGGCTGCCCGCTCCGCCCAGCTCCCCTCAGCTCTCACTTCTGCTTTCCAAGCCTGGAGGGGAGGGTGTTTCCCTCTGTGGGCCCCATAGGGCCCTGAGAACCGCCCCCAACACACCCCTGGGAGTTGGCTCCAGGATGCCTTTCTCCCAGGCCTCCTGTGCCCTCTGGAGGTCCCCCCCCCCCCGTTTTTCTGGCCCCCCCCCCCTCCCCCCCCCTGCAGAAGAAGACCCAGCCTCACTGTGCACACTGAGTCTCACCTTCTGTTTCTGTGTCTGTCTCCTTGGTCCTTGCTCTCCAACCCATAATTCTCTAGTATTCATGTCCTCCCTCTCTACACCCTGATGGCCAGTGACCTCTGACCCCCACAACCCCTTCCTCAGTCTCCAGGTCTGGCCCCGCCCCCTCATATCTTGGCTTCTGGCCTTCGCCTCTAGCTACTGTACACACATTGGAGCCCCCACTCCAATAGGTGACCTCTGACCCTTGCTTGGTATAACCTGAGGACCCCCACCCATGGACCCCAGCACAGATCACAGCTTATGGCCAGGGACCGCCTTGGGGTCTCCGACACCATCCTGGATCCCTGCCCCCCCCGCACTGATGCCACCTCCTGCAGGGCGGCACCTGGGTCCCACACCATTGCCCACCGTCACAACAGGGAGCCCCACCCCATGGCTCGCAGTGCCCTTTGCCCCGCTGCCTGCTGAGGACCACAGCCCCGGCCCCCCGGCCGCTGTGTTTGCAGGACCCCCTCTTTGTGCTGGAGCACAGCCTGCCCATCGACACGCAGTACTACCTGGAGCAGCAGCTCGCCAAGCCACTCCTGCGCATCTTTGAGCCCATCCTGGGCGAGGGCCGCGCCGAAGCCGTGCTGCTGAGTACTCAGGGGCAATGCCCAGAGGGGAGCAGGGGGGCACCGGGGTCCTGCGGGGGGGGGGGCGCCTGGGCCCACTGCCTGCCCTCACCTGCAGGGGGTGACCACACACGCTGCAAGACGGTGCTCACGGGCAAGGTGGGCGGCCTTCTGGCCTTTGCCAAACGCCACAGCTGCTGCATTGGCTGCCGCACCGTCCTCAACCACCAGGGTGAGCGCCGGACTCCAGCCCTGACCCCAGCCCCTCGGGGGGACCCCAATCCTCCACCTTCCACCCTCTACCCAGCTCCTCTATCACTGAGGTTCCCGGCACCCGCCCTCCCAGCTGGCAGTGCCACCCGGATGGGCCTCAGCCCCTGGGCGGGGGCTCCCGCTCACAGGCACCCCCTCGAGGGTCCTGGGCCCCCCACCCCGGGAGTTCCCCGGGGAGTTTTCCCCCACACACTTGCTCCCTTGTTCTCTTGTCTCTGGGGACTTTCAGAAGCCGGGATGGGCAGCGGGTGGGGAAGGGGCAGGGACAGGGCAGCTCGGGCTCTGGCTGGGCCCCAGCTCCCCTGTGCCGACCCGCCCCTCTGCCAGGAGCCGTGTGTAAGTTCTGCCAGCCTCGGGAGTCTGAGCTCTACCAGAAGGAGGTGAGGGGTGGGGCGGGGCGGGTGGGGGGTCGTGGGGTCGGCGAGGGGAGGGCAAGGCGGGGACCGGGGCCCCCTTCAACTGTCTCACCCCCAGGTGTCCCACCTGAACGCCCTGGAGGAGCGCTTCTCGCGCCTCTGGACCCAGTGCCAGCGCTGCCAGGGCAGCCTGCACGAGGACGTCATCTGCACCAGGTACGCAGGCCCTCCCTGCAGGCTCCCAAGGCCTGGGGACCGGAGCCCTGACCCTGAGATGGGGGGGCACGCTACCCCAAATGGCTGATGTTCTGGGTGTCCCAGCCTCGCTGTGGGGAGGGCGCTGCTCGAGGGACCAGCATCTGCCCAGGAAATGGCCACAGTTCTCTCGCTCCTGCTCTTTCTCTCTCTCTCACACTCATGCATACACGCGCACACACACATGCACCATGGCCCAGCCCCCTCCCCCAGGGCGGGCCAGGCTTTCCCCAGGGAACAGGTGGGCGGGGCTGGTTCCCACGCCAGGTGACAGGTGATATACGGCTGGTGGAGCCCAGCGTCGCCGCGGGTGCCCGCTGTTACGGTTCCCCCCATGCCCGCTGAGCAAACAGCCTGCCCCCGAGGGGGGTTGGGTGGGCAACAGGCGGGGGCCAAAGTCCTGGGAACGGCCCCGGCCCCATCACTGGGCTGGGCAGCGCCCCAGTCCTGACCCTGACCCCCACCCCACCCACAGCCGGGACTGCCCCATCTTCTACATGCGCAAGAAGGTGCGGAAGGACCTGGAAGACCAGGAGCAGCTTCTGAGGCGCTTTGGCCCTCCTGGCCCTGAGGCCTGGTGACCTCTGACCCCTGCAGGCTTCTCACCAGGGCTGGGGGGGCAGGGATGGTGTTGGCGGAGAATTAATAATAAAGTTCAGGCCTTTTGTTTCCTGGTGCTTTGTGGTCTCTGGTGGGCGAGGTCCATTGTCCTGCACCCTGGCCCAGGTGGGTCAGCTCCACTCAGTGGGGTCCCCTGACCCCAGGAAACCCCTGCTGACTTCCTCACCTTCCCTCCAAGAACACTGCTGCCAGCCCCATGAAAGCTGGGCCTGCCTCAGTCTCCCTCTGAGACCCTGAAGGCCCTGAGGGAACATCTAACCACATATCCTCCTCTGCCTGGACTGCCCCGCCCTCCCTCACCCCCGCCCCCCAACCAGCCCCCACTCCGCCTCCAGGTGCCGGCCTGTTTCCTCCTGGCCTGGGGCAGCCCCTCGCTCAGAAGCCTCCACTCCAGGCACAACCCAGGGGACCCCCCCTTTCCATGTCATACACCCACGATGTTTCCACCTCTGGGTCCTCACAGGCGCTGGGCCTGGGTTTTCCTCAGAGTAGCCCCCGCAGCCCCTCCCAGTCCACATCCACTCCTGGGATTCCTGGCATCCCCACCTGGCCTTCAGATGCCATTGGTGTTTGAGTCTGCTCCTTGATGTCATGTGCCCCCCACCCCCAGCAACCCACTCCCCCCCTCTGGCTCCTGGGCCTGGACCCCCACTTCACTGACCACAGGACCCGTTGGCTTCCCTACTTCCTTAAGGTCCCCTGGAATCCAGTTCCTCTCCCATCTCCACCACTCAGGGTCAGCCCCCCATTCCTACCCCAACTGTGGGGATCCCCAAATCCAGACGGGCCCTGGGCCTGCCCTCTCCACCATGTGACCAAGGTGTTGTGCAATCCAGCCCCCTCCCCTCACCCTCCCCGAGGGGATTTTCGAGGAGGCCTGTGCTCTGCAGGCCAGCCGGCACCCCTGCCCCCCCCAGGGGGCTGGGCCAAGGCATAAATAGGGGTGGTGGCTGAAGCAGGCAGCAGACCCAGCCCAGCACCACCATGCTCGCTCTAGAGGCTGCACAGTAAGTGGGGGTTCCCTAAAGGAAGGGGTCCCCCTGCCCTTAGGACCCTCTGCCAGGCCTCCCTCAGGGGTAGGGGGCAGGGGGGTGGGAGGGAGGGGGTTCCCCCTGCCTTTTGCCCATTCTAGATCTCTTCCTTTCCTTTCTTGGCATCCTTCCTCCATCCTATCCCTGTCTCTCTCAAACATCAAAAATCTCTCCTTGGGATGCCTGCCTCCACTCCAGCTAATAGTCTCTCCCAGGCAGCCCCCCAGGCCTGTATGTCCCCCCAGCCCCCCATGGGGCCTCGCTGAATCTCTGGCTTTCTCACTTGTTGCCCACTCTGCTGCTCATCACATTGTTTTGTTTCTGGGGTTCTATCCTCTGCCTCTTGCTCCCTCTCTGTCTCTGTCTTTGCCCCGGTCTCTTTCCAGTTCTTCCTCTGTCTGTCTGTCTGTTCTCTCCTGCTATCTCCCTGTCTCTCCCCTAGCCCATTCTGCCGATCTCTGGGACTCAACTGCTTCCTGCATCAGCGAATGTGTGTCTCCACACTTTCCTCCCATTCTTGCCCAGTGGCTCTCCATCTCCTCTGGTCCAGAGCGGACCCATTTAATGGACTTGATGACGGAGGCCCCCTCCCTGCCCCCATCAGCCCACTGGTGCCCACACCACCTCTCCAGGGACTTTCTCTCCCTCACTTTCCCTGCCCCCCAACCAGCCTCTGCCTATGCAAATCCCAGGGGAGGGGGGACATTTGCCTGTCCCCCCACCCCCCACTTCCTGTCCCGCTCGAGTGTGGTGGGGCTGGTCTCACACAAGGACACAGCAGAAGAGCTGCGGTGGTCACAGCTGCAGCCGCCTCCCCCCCTCCGGCTACCCCACTGGCTCCCAACCACCCTGAGACTCCAGGCTGAAGGCACCCCTGACATGCCCCTGTGTCTCTCTCCCTCCAGGCTCGACGGGCCACACTTCAGCTGTCTGGTGAGTTGGGGCCCTGGGGACCAGGGAGGGTAGAGGGGACCCACATGGCCCACCTTGACCCCCCTACCTCAGTTTCCCCTTCCATTCCTTCCCGTCACTTTGTCTTTCTGACTCTCCCTCCATATCTCCCACCAGCACCCTCCTCCTCACCTGCCCCATCTCCTTCCTGGACCTTTCTCTGCCAGCTCTTGCCAGCTCTCAGACTCTGGGTCCACTTCCTGTCTTGGGGAAGGATGGGGGTCCTTGTGTCTTTGGCTTTGTGTCTCTCCCTCCACCCACCCCACATTCAGCAAACCTATCAATTCTTTCTTTCCTTCTCTTCCTTGCCAAATTGTTTTCTCAAAAGCGTAGTCTAATAGTTCAGACACATAGAATACTATGCTCTCACCATCCATAACCCACAGCCCCGTCCAAGAACGAAAACCTCGCTCACTCCCCACGCCCCATTGCCAGCATGTCCCACCTTGCTTCAACTTGACAAGTTTTTTGCTTTAAAAAAAAAAAATGGAGGTATAACCTACAAGTTGGCAAAGTGGCAGATCTGGTGTGCAGCCCAGTGACGTTTCACATTACGCACACACCTGTGTAACAGCTAACCAGACCAAGACATAGAATGTTTCCATCTCTCTGGAAGATTCTCAAACAACAACCACCCCTCCCCGCTGGGATCTTTTCCAGCATGGATCCGTGTTGCCTGGTTTTGACCTTGATATGAAGTATATCGGGCAGGATGTCCCCTTTGGCTCTGGCTTCCTTCATCAGCATTCTGTATTGAGCATTGTTTTGCCTTGGTATTTAAGTACACTCTGTCCCCTATGTGGGGCTCGAACTCACGACCCGAGATCAAGAGTTGCATGCTCTACTGCCAGCCAGCCAGGTGCTCCAGCCTTGGTTGCTTTTCTCTGTTGTCTAGTGCTCTGCTGTGCCCCCGCCCTGCAACACACACACACACGCCACGGCCACCTGTTTATCCACTCTCCTGTCCATGGGCTAGTTCTCTCTTGGGGCTCTTGGAAAAGCTGCTCTGATTGTTCTCGAACAAGGCTATTTTGTGGACCTATGTTTTCAGTGCTGTGGGGTAGTACCTGGGAGTGAGGCTGCGGGGTCGTCTGGATGTCTAGCCTTGGTCTTGACTATAATGGCTAAAGCAATACATGATTCTTGAGGGGTAGATCAAAATGATAGATAGGTGGATAAAAGAAGCATTGAGATTTTCTTTGCCTCTGTAGAAACACTTCTACCCCTGGGACAGGCGAGCCTGGGGGAATTCTTCCCTGCCTTCCCCACGCCTTCCTAAGAGCCCACGGTCTTAGCAGGTGCTGGCTGCCATGTCCCTGAGACCCTGGGTCTTGGGGTTTCTGCACATCTCCTGCTGTGTCTTTCATTCTGTGTGTGTGTGTGTTCCTGCTGTGGTGTGTGTGTGTGTCCCTGCTTTCTGTATCTCTGTATGTCTCTTTCTTTGCCCCTGTCTCTGGTGCCTGGTCTCTATGGCTCTTTCTGTCCATCTCCCAGCCTTCCCCTCTTCTCCCTTGTCCTTGTCAGAACCTTTCTGCTGGCCCAGAATGGGTATGGGGGCTCCCCAAAGCCTGGGGTGACCCCTCTTCCCCCCACCCATCAGTATCCAGATGGTGTCTTCTATGATCTGGACAGCTGCAAACACCCCAGCTACCCCGACTCAGAGGGGGCTTCTGGTGAGTGGCCCTGCCCTAGCCATCCTCCTGACCTGGACCTTGGGCCCATTTCACAGATGGGGGAGCTGAGTCCCAGGGGAGGATGTCACCTAGTTCAGCAGGATAAGATTAGCCCATGTCTCCAGACCTCCCCCCTTTTCCTCTCCCACCCACCCTCTTGCCCATGCAAATTCTGGGGAAAAACATTTGCAAGGCCTACAATGGCCTCTCTGTGCTGGGGGCTTCGAGTGGGTGGGGCTGGGGCCAGACCTGGCTTCTGACTCAGCGCCCTCCCGCCCTCTCCCAGACTCCCTGTGGGGCTGGGACCTCAGTCCAGCTGTCCCAGCCACCTCCTATGAAGCCTTCAACCCGGCTGTGGCCAACTTCAGCCATCCTCAAGGAATCCAGCTCTGTTACGGACCCTCGACCTACAGCCCCGTGGGGAGCCTGGACCCAGCACCCAGTGTAGAGGCCCCGGGGCCCAGCTTCCCAGCATACCCCACGGAGGACTTCACCAGCCAGGTGAGGGGCAGGGACACGATTAACTTTCCCATCATCGGCTCGAGATTTCCTAGATGCCAGGCAGCGTGTGAAAGCCTCTGGGTTAAGTACCATTTCTGCTCCATTGCACGGGCCAGCCAACAGAGGCATGGATGTCAGGCAAGGAGCTGCACGGGAAGCCATGTTCTGGGTTGGGCAGGCTTTCAGGGAGGGGGCCCGGGTATCCCTTGGCCATGCCATGGAGATGGGAACTGAGGCCAGAGCACAGGCTGTAAAGGGTGGGGGGGGGCACCGTGGGGAAGGCCACAGCGAGGACCCAGGAGGAGGAAGCTGAGGGAAGAGCAGAGGGAGGGAGGAAAGGGGGTCCCTGGACTGCAGGTGATCCTGACCTTTTGCAGACTATGGGCCCCCCGGCGTATGCCCCGTACCCCAGCCCTCTGCTGTCAGAGGAGGAAGACCTCCTGCTGGACAGCCCAGCCCTGGAAGTTTCAGACAGCGAATCGGATGAGGCCCTCATGGCTGGCCCTGAGGGGAGGGCATCTGAGGCAGGTACGTAGGAGCTAGTGGGGTGTGGTGGGGCTCCAAGAGGAGATGGGGGAGGGGCTAAAGGAACCCCCCCCCCCCGCCCCGCTTCTCAAGCACCTACTGTATACTCCAGTGATGAGGGTATTTCCCTGTGTGACCTGGGGCAAATGACTGTACCTCTCTTGGCCTGACTTTCCTCTCTACCATGGGGATGACGTAAGTGTCTATTACTGGAGTGTGGGGATTAAGTGCGATAATACAGGTGAAGGAGAGCGGTGCTTGGCACAGAGCAGTCAGTATGTCTCCACCCTTTACAGACACGATAGCAATGGACACAATCATATCAACTCAGGTCCCCGGAACCCCTGTTTCCGCCCATGTGACTGACCCGTGGTTTGCCCAGTTCCTGGGCCGGTAGGATTGTGAATTACTTTCCCTACCTGGCTCTCGGTTTCTCATCTGTAAAATGGGCAGCAGCAGCAGCAGCCCCATCTCCTGGGCTTCTGATGAAGATCAAATGAGCTCGTAACTGTAAATGCTTAGAACTAAGTGCTTCACAGAGGTTTGTAAAATACACACACACACACACACACACACACACACACACAGGCCTCATTTACAGCTGAGGAAACACCAGCTCAAGGTCACTGCTGGGAAGTGGCAGACCTGGGGTTCTGGTACCCAATGGCCTGCTATGAACAGCCCCTCTCTGGCTTCGTGGGGGTCTTTGCTGCTGGTAGGAGCAAAAAAGGGACCCCCAGCCACCCCCGCAAATCCTTCCAGGATCCCAGTCCCTCTGGGGCTGAGAAATGGCTAGGCGCATTCAAACCCACTTCAGATCTCTTCACTACCACTCAGCGCCCCGTTATAAGACTCTGAGGGGCCTTGGCAGTCCATTCCACGGATCCTGTCCTCCACACGCAGGGCAGACACGTATTACTACGTTCGGGCCACCAGCAGAGCAGAGGAGAGACGCAGGTCCCCAAGATAAAGCAAGGCAGGGGGATGGGAGCTGTGGGGTAACAGCTTCGGGGAGGAGAGAGGCTTGCCTCCGATGGGGGTGGTGGTGGCCCAAGGCGGACCCAGGCAGATGCCTCCTCCCTCGTCCCAATGCTCTTGGCTGTGAGACTGAAGCTTGCTGGGGGCCCGGGAGGAGGGGTGAAGCGGAGGGGGCGGGGAGGCGCGGCGCCCCAAGGCTCGCTCCCCTAACATGCCCCGACCACCGCAGGGGCCCGCAAGAAGCTCCGCCTGTACCAGTTCCTGCTGGGTCTGCTGACGCGCGGAGACATGCGCGACTGCGTGTGGTGGGTGGAGCCGGGCGCCGGGGTCTTCCAGTTCTCCTCCAAGCACAAGGAGCTCCTGGCGCGCCGCTGGGGCCAGCAGAAGGGCAACCGCAAGCGCATGACCTACCAGAAGCTGGCGCGCGCCCTGCGCAACTACGCCAAGACCGGCGAGATCCGCAAGGTCAAGCGCAAGCTCACCTACCAGTTCGACAGCGCGCTGCTGCCCGCCGCCCGCCGGGCCTGAGCCCAGTGGGGGTCTCTCCGGGGCTCCACGTCTGCGTCACGTTGGCGTCCCCACACTCTAGGTCATAGGACCCGTGGATTCCCCACGCTGTTGGGGGTGGGGGGCTGCCATAATCCCTAAGCTCTGCCCAGGGCCCCTCTGGGACTCCACCTCACCCCAATCATGTCTGGGGCCCCTCTGGGATTTCCTTGTCATGTTCAGGGTCGCCAGGATCCTCGTGCCTTGGGTCACAGAACCCATGGAGGACTATACTCTGTGTCTGTGCGGAGGGGATGGGCAGGACCCTGCTTCCAGATAGCCTTGTGGTGTCTGAGATCGTCCAACCAAGCTCTCTGAGCTCCCTTGTGTGTCTGGGATTCCTCAGTCTCATCTGGGGAGGGTGAGCTCACAGCTCATCACACAGGGAGGGGGTTGCTGCTTGTAACCCTAAGCCCCGTCCAGCCAGGGTCTCTCTGGGATCCCCTTCTCATGTCTGACACTCTCCTATCAGATCTGAGATCTCCTACTTCTGTCTGGGGCCTTCTGGAAACCCTCTATCATGTCTCAAATCTCTATGCCCATCTGTGACTCTCTTGTCCTGTTCCCCAAAATATGTTTGTCATCTTGAGATCCCCCAATTCTCTGGAACCACTGTGCTATCACTTTTTGTGTGTGTGTCTGGAATTCTCCAATCACATCCAGAGTAGCTCTGGGATCCTTTGGGCATGTCTAAAAACAACCTTGTCAGGTCTATGGGAGACCTTGGTGAACTCTGTCTTGTCCAGGCCACCTCTGGGATCCCCTGGTCTGTCTGGGATCCTTCCAATCACATCTGGGGCCTCCCTGGGATCCCCTATCTGCTCTGCCCCTTTGGGGACCCCATCAGCAGACCTGAGTTCTCACAGGGACCCTCCCCTTCCTGGAGTGCCCTCTGTAGGGCCAAGCTAGAGATCATTCTGGCCAGTCAACTGATTTCCGGGTGATCTTGGCAGCTCTCCCATCTCATCTCTAACCAGAGGTCTCACATTGGTACCCCTACCCCTCTAGCTCCCTTTGGGGCAAATCAGATCTCCAGTGGTGGGTCCTTCTTTAGTTCCCTGCAGCAGTGAGGGAGATTTTACAAACTCCTTCCCTTCAGACTTTGCACGATCCAGCAAAGGTGGGCAGCTTTGCGGTGCAGAGAGGCTGGAGGAGGGTGCCGGGCACCCTTAATGGGGTGCCTGTTCTCCAGTCTGTCCCAGTCCCCGCTGCCCCTGGCTGTCAGACCCCAGTGGCTTCTTTCAGTCGCCTCTTGGCCCCTGACCATTTGTGTTTTCAGCCCTGGTGTGAACCCACGGAGGTGAAGCTTGGGTTCACTGTGGGAGCTCCGATTCGAACCCTGTGGGGGTGTCACAGACTGTGGGCTAAGATGCCAGAGTCCCAGTCCTTGAGTCTTTGTGACTGGGGGATCTAGGGTGAAAGACTTGCTGCTTCTGGGCCTCAGTTTGTCCCTTCTGTGAAAGGGGAGAGGAGGAGGAAGATAGAAAAAGTCCCTTGCAGCCCTGCTGAGCCTTTGATGCATCTTCTGGAAATCTACCCCACCACCCATTCATTGATGTCCAGGAGGAGGACAACAAGGAAGGAACTTCAAAGACCCAGAGAGGAAAAAGGTCCTTATGGGGCACACAGCTGCTGGTAGCAGAGCCCAGGCTGGGACCTGCCCTCCCAAGGACAGCACACACCTTCACACTGGAATGGGGGCAGGGTGGGAAGGGAGTGCCAGGGACAAAATGTTCCCAGGGCCTCCTCTTGCAAATGAGGTACCTTTTGCAAAAACTATCATCATCACCCCAAGTGTGGAATAAAATAAAATAAAACAAATCAAGGTAGGCTTCCTAGGACCCTTTGTTAGGGATGGCTCTCTGTCGGCCCAGGCCTGCTGACTGGCAGAGACACTGAGGCGGCGGAGGCAAGGCGGACCACAAGAAGGGATGGAAGAGGCGTTCAGAGCCGCATCAGGCTGAGCATTGAAGGCCGCAGATGCAGACTCTGCTGGTTCCGTTCAAATTTGTCTGTCTCTCTTTTTTATATTTTTTATTTTGAACCAATCTCTATACCAACCTGGAGCTCCAACTCACAACCCCGAGATCAGGAGTCACCTCTTCTTCCGGGTTGAGACAGCCAGGCTTTCTCGCTCTCTTCCCCACTGTCTCCCTGCTCCCCTTTCCGTCAAGGTGTCTGTCCCCCCCTTCTGAATTTCTGCCCTTCTCTGTACGTCTGGATACAGCACTCGGACAGGCAGATAGGGCGGGAGGCTCCCGGCGGCGCGTCGCGCTCTGGCTCCAGCCACTACACCCCCAAGCTGGGCGCGCATGAGCGGTGTGGCTGTCTGCCTAGCAACCCGTGACATCATACAGAGGCTGGCGCCGGGTTGGCTTGGCGCTCCACGGAGGCGGGGCAGTTTCCGGCTCGCAGGGGGTTTTGGAAGAGCCGGGAAGGGGGAGACCGAGAGGAAGAAAGTCGGTAGGGACATGTATTCACTCAAACCTGCTCCCTCCGCCGGAGTTACTTTCTCTCCCATCCTCCGCCTTAACCCCAAACCCCCACTCCCTACTCCCTCTCACACTCACCTCGCCTTCCTCCCCATAACACCCACTGCCTCTCAGAGACCCCTCTCTTCACCCCACTACCCCCCGCTTCTGGCCTCCTTCACCTCCCCCCATCCGGCGTCCAGCCACCACCACCCCCATTCTGAAAGCCACAGGTCCCCCTGCCGGGAAGGGCGCCAACGTCCGGGCAGCCCTCCAGGGCCTTCCCGATCTCCCCACCCGCCCCGCTGGGGGGCACTCGTCCCCCTCCCCCCCGTCCGGTGCCCGCCGCGCCCGCTCCGGGAACCGTCGAGTGGAGCCGGCCGGCTGGATCCCAGGAGGGGCACGCGGCCGATCCCGGGTGCCAGGTGACCGCGGCCGCAGGCCTTCAGATGTGCTCTCGCCCAGGGGCGGGACTCCGAGAGTCCTCGAGCCTCCGTGCCCTTCCTGCGGGCACAGAGATCGCCTCCCCACCCCCGCAGCCGTCTTGCCTACGCTGGGAAACCGGACCCTCCCTCGCAGCTCCGGTTTCCCGAAAACTCCTGACTTGCAGATACTAAGAATGGCTTTCTAGACGGTCTTCCCCTTTGGCCCCCACGGCAGAGTTCTGGCTCGGAGCCCTCACCCATTTTAGACCCCAGCCTCTTCATCTCCCGCCTCCCAGGAGTCAGGAGTCCAGGCCCTCATCCTCCCATTTTTCTGGACCCAAGAATCCGAGCCCCAGACCCCAAAGTTCAGACCCTCCTCCTTCAGACGTGGGAGCCCTCGCCTCCAGACCCCACTTCCTGGGACCCGGGTGTCTGAACCCCAGGCCTCTCCTCCCCCAGGGACTTGGCATTTAGCCATCTCTCGCGGTCCAGATGTTCTTTCTCACCCTTCAGAACACGCCCCGCTGAATGTGGGGCAGCAAGGAGGGCGGGGAGACCAGGCTGATGCCTCCCACAGCCTCCTGGGAGTCTCTGGACTTCTTAAAGGGCTCCCCCTGGGGGCCCACCTGTTCGCCCCAGGGCGCTGAGGGACAAGCTGCGGTCTGAGGAGCTCAGGATCGAGGTCGGCTGACATGCCTGAGGCGAAACCAGGTGACTTTCAGGACTGCCCTCCCTGGGTGGAGATGCCGTCCCCTTTTCTGAATGGGGGCTAAGGGCTCCTCTGTAGGTTTCGGAGAATGGGATGTGTTCTCTGTGTGGTGAGGGCTTCCCTTTCTTCTGTGGGGTGGGGGGCCCCATACCTGTGTTGGGTTGGTGGGTCTCCTTCCCTGTGCAGTGAGGGTGTCCCTTTCTCTACAGGGATTTGAGGGGGGCATTTCTGGGTGCAGATAAAGATTATCTGACTTTGAGTCCTTTTTCTGCATAGGGATGGGAGTGCTGTGTATGTAGACCAGAGAGTCTTTGCGTTGTGATTGGGGTCCTCTACATTTGGGGATGGAGTTCTCTCCATAGGCACCAGGGTGCTTCTCTGAGTGAGGACTGAGTCCCTTCTCTGTAGGGGAGTGGGGTCCTTGTGTGTATAGAGGTTAGGGGTTCCTGTCTGGTGAGGAGAGCTCTTGTCTGTATAAGGATGAGGGGACCTCCTTTCAATAGGAATGTGGGCTTCCTCATGAAGGAATTAGGGAGCCTTCTCCATTTAGGGGCCCCTTATGTGAGCCTTTCTCTGCCATTTGATGCTCTTCTCTGTATGGGACTGTGACATTTTTAACGTGGGGTGTGGCTTTCTCTCTATAAAAAAGTGAACACAAGAGATTCAAGTCCCTGGGAGGGACCCTCCTCCTGGGGTGTCCAGACCGCTGGCACCAGGCCAACCAGGCTGTGGAGTGGGGGTCCAACCCCTCACTGCAGCTGGGTCGTGGGTGGGCCAGGAGCCAGCAGGCAGGGCAGGTGGAAGATGCCATGGTCAGCACACGGTGTCCAGTTTCCAGCCCCAGGAAAGAGCTAATTATACCCCCAGGACCCAAAAGGTCAGGGCCTGGTGGCCTGAGTGGATGGGGCACGGCCTGTCTGGAGCAAGGGGAAACCTGATCGCTCAGACTCTCAGGATTAGAGATTAATTTACGCCTGAAGGGGCAGGACTTCTGCGTCTGAGGGAGGATGGGTGGGTGGGGGGGTGGGTGGGTTGGGGTGGGGGGGTGGTGCTAGAGTCCTGGGTTTCGAAAGAGGAGGGTACTGAGCACTTCCTCAACTGCGAACATCTTTTACCTTGCAGTAGCCAAAAAGGCCCCCAAAGGCAAAGAGGCTGCCAAACCAGCTCCCAAGGAAGCCCCCCCTAAGGAGGCTCCTGCAGAGCCCCCCAAAGGTGAGACAATGTTCCTGTGGGATCTGCAGAACCTGGCTTTTCAACCCCCAGCTCCCTTTGTACCTCTGCAGCACCTTGCTCTCTCTCCTTTAGTCCTACCTCCAGAGTTAATCCATCCTTCCCACACTCGCCCACAACCCTCCATGGCTCCCCAGTGCCCCCAGGTTAGAGCCTTGCCCCTCAGACTGGTCCCCATGCCGCTAGCAGCTAGCTGATTCATCACGGAGTCCTGCCCAGTTCTGGATGCCGCGGTCTATTTCCACACCTCTCCTACCCCAAAGCCATGTTCAAATGATCCAGTCCACCTCCCTCCAGTTCACAAATGGGGAAACTGAGGCCCGAAGGAGTGGAGGAGACTGGCCAAAGTCATGCAGCCACCTGCGTGATACATGGTCTTTCCAAAGTCAGGAGAAGCCACTTTGCTCCATGCTTTGGCATCTGAGCAGAGGGTCCCTCACAGGCTCTAAGCCCCACTCATTAAGTGGCCTGCTGCCCCTTCCCCAACCTGCCTCAGATCCCCCCCAATCCTGTCTCCTAAGCAGAAGCTCCACCTGAGGACCAGTCTCCCACTGCTGAGGAGCCCACTGGCATTTTCCTGAAGAAGCCAGACTCAGTGTCAGTGGAAAATGGTGAGGGGGGATGAGGGAGGAGGGGGCTGGAGACATGACTCTCAGGTCTGAGGGAGGAGGGGGCTGGGGGTTTGGACTCCCAAGTCTGAGGGAGGAGGGGACTAGGGTCCAGGGCTCCTGAGTCTGAGGGAGGAGGGAGCTGGGGCCTGGACTCCCAGGTCTGAGGGAGGAAGGACTGGGGGCCTGGACTCCCGGGTCTGAGGGAGGTGGGGGCTGGGGACCTGGACTCCTGGGTGTGAGGGAGGAGGGGGCTGGGGACTTGGACTCCTCTGTCCAAGGAAGGAGAAGCTCCCAGTCCTCTCTGTAGAGTCTCACAGTTCCTGTCTGGCCACTCCCTCCCATCCCCCACCCCCCCACCCAGGAAAAGATGTGGTGATCATAGCCAAGGTGAATGGGAAGGAGCTCCCAGAGAAACCAACCATCAAGTGGTTCAAGGGGAAGTGGCTGGAGCTGGGCAGCAAGAGTGGGGCCCGATTCTCTTTCAAGGAGTCCCATGACTCTGCCAGCAATGTGAGATCCCCGTGGGGACACTGAGGGCATATGGGCTAAGGATGGGGGTTGGGCAGCCCCCGATTCTCAGAAGGCCTGTTGCTTGAAGCCTGGAGCCCCTATAGGATGGAAAACAGGACCTCCAGGGATAGAGGTTGTGCGGGGCTGCTTGGTGGAGATTGTGGGGGACAGGTGGGGACAATGTTTGGGTTAGGGCAGGGCACACTTGGTCAGTCCGTGCATTCCCAGAAAGGTCTCTGGGGTCAGAGATGTGGGGCCCCAGGGTCAAGTTTTTCCAGGCATGCGAAGAGACAGCTGGCCTTTCCAGTGGGGCCAGGTTGAGGACCCAGAGAGGGAGACGTGAGGTGGACTCCGGGGGGTGTGGGGTGGGGCTGGGGAGCAGTCATGCGCACCCACATCCCTGGCCCCCTGCCCCCAGGTGTACACCGTGGAGCTGCACATTGGGAAGGTGGTCGTGGGGGACCGTGGGAATTACCGCCTTGAGGTCAAAGCCAAGGACTTCTGTGATAGCTGTGCCTTCAACATCGATGTGGAGGGTGCGCTGGTGGGGGTGGCGGGGTGGGGGAGCAAAGGGTTGTGGGGGGTGGGGCTGGGGTGGGTGTTTCAGCCTGGTGTAGCGAGCGTACAGATGTGGGGGTGAGATTTGGGGAGGAGGGAGTAGATGCAGGGGCCAGGGGATTCAAAATTGGGGAGATAGTCTATGGGCTTAGACCATGAGGAGGTGTGGACTCGGGGTGGAGAGGGTGCAGGGTTTTGGGTGCCCAGCGAAGGCTGAGAAGGTGAGCTAAGTAGATCCCAGGGTCTCAGTGGACAGGCTAGAGAAGGTAGCCATGAGGGCTTAGGAAGCTAGTGTGTCCAGGTTTAGGGTGAGGGTGTACAAGCTTAGTGGGAGGTTATTACAGATTTGGGGGCATATGTATGGACCCCAGAGGGTGTACTGGCTCTGGGGTCTACAGCCCAGGATGGGTGTGGCTTAAATATGGGGGACACAGGGAAGGCGTCTGCCCAGGCCTGGGGAGAAGAGTGTGCTGGCCTTTGTGTGTGGTGGGAGAGGCTGCTCGTGGGGCAGTGCGGCAGCAAGGGAAACAGGAATCCACGCGCAAGTTGCAGGATGTGCTGGCCCATGACAGGGGGCCTGGGGGGAGGTTGTGCAGGCCTGGAGGGGCACTTTTGGTCTTAGATCAGGCCTTGCTTCCAGCTCACCTTCTGTCCCCCCATCTCCTCTCCCCAGTACCCCGTCAGGACGCCTCTGGGCAGGGTCTAGAAAGCTTCAAGCGTTCGTAAGTGATCCTGGAGCCTGGGAAGAGTTGTGGGGGGTTGGTGTCTGCTGGTGCCAAAGACTATGGAGTGTCTTCCCCGGGAGGGGAGCCGTGGGAGAAGGGAAGAGTGGGGACCCAGGGCAGGCCTGAGGGCACAGGACCTCCATGGGGTTCACATACCCTCTCAATGGCCACAGGGGCGAAGGGAAGTCAGAAGATGTGGGTGAGCTGGATTTCAGCAGCCTGTTGAAGAAGAGGTAAGCCTACTCCACTTGGCCTAGAGAGAGGAGATGGGGATTCATAGAGGAGGAGGTTCCACTGCCAGCCCTGGATGCCCTGTTTTCCACTCTGTGACCTGCATCTACCCATTTCCCACCCACCCGGCCATCTGTCCCTCCACCTATCCCCATACTCACCATTCACATTTACCTACAACCACACCCACTCAGCCATCTGCCGGCCAGTTCCCCTACCTACCTACCCTTCAACCCATCATCCTCACAGCCATTTTCTTGTTCACTCAGGCTCTAATTCACCTGTACATCCCTCTGAGCACCCAGTCAAACACCCATCTGCCATTCTGGGTGGGGAGGTCCACCCATCCACTCACCAATCACCCGTCTGTTCAACCAGCTGTGTATCCATTGACTAATCCAACCACTCACCTACCTGCGCATTTGCCCATTCATCCGCCCACACATCCATTCATTTACCCGCCATCTCCCACCTGTCTATCCACTCGTCTACCATTACACTCAGCCACCCAGTCAGTAGCCCATCCATTCATCCTTCACCTACCCACCCCTTAATCCCATTCCCCAACTATGGAGGCACCACCAATCCACTTTCCACCACCCATCTGTCTCTCATCCATCTTCCTTCCCACCTGGGTATCTATCTGCACCTACATCTCTCTCCCAACTGAATCCGTCATCCCACCTGCCCACCTGGCCATGCATTCTTCGATCAACGCTTCCCGTCTTCAGTGACACACCCATCTACCCAGATAGCTCTCTGTGCGTGATCTATACGAAATTGCTGTTCTTTAGGTAAAAATGATGGGCTATTGGCAATTTTATAGTGTTCAATATGATGCTTTTCCGTTCGCTTGGTTATTCATTATCTACTGGTCCGCCCATCCATTCTTGTATTCATTCATCTATCCCCATACCCAAATCCACAGCAACCCCATCGAATGACAGACTTATCTCCTTGTCTTTACCCAGCCAACCACCTGCCTGGCCATCTCCCCTCAACATATCCACCCAATTGCCGACCCACCCATTTGCCACCAACCCATCAGTCCATCCACTCGCCCAGCTATCTTCCATCCGCCCATTCATCTGTCTTCACGCCACCCGTCCACCACCTATCACCCATCCATGGACCCGCACATCCATCACCGCAGCCATCCATCAACGCCTTGACCCATGCCTGTAGTATTTCTCCACCCAAAGCTCTGTACATCATTGCAGACACTCATATGTCCTCCTGTTCCCCACTCATCTCTCCTCTTTTTGTTCCCTTCCCTTCCTTCCTTCTTTCCAGAGATCTACTCACTTTCTCACTCAGCAAACATTTTCTGAAGCCTCCTGTCTCGCAGGCCTGGGGCTGAGATCAGGGGACAGAGAGAAGTTTGATTTGGTCCCTGACACTGAGTCACAGATTGTTTTGGGGAGATGGGTCTGGTCCAACAGACATAGACAGAGACCAAGATTGTTTAGTGTGACCAGAGAGAGGGTCCCACAGAGACCTTGTGAGAACCCAGAGGGAAGGCAACTCATTGCCTGGGAAGACCAGCAGTGCCTCACAGAGGAGGGGGCTTTGGCACTAGGTCTGAAGAGGAGTGCATCAGGAAGGGAAAGTAGGGAGGGGTCCTCTGGGTGGGGAAACATTTTGTGCAAAGGCTGGGAGGCAGGAGGGGGGCCTGAGGGTTCAGGAAAGGCAAGGAACATGCATGGGTGGTTGTGGGGGTGCTGATGGCATGGTGGGTGGCGTCATGACTGTCAGGCTGAGCTGCTGAGGCTTCCTCCTGATGGCAGTGGGGGACCCATGGAAGAATTCTGAACAAGGAAAGGATGTCATCTGATGTGGAAGTAAGGAATACCCTCCTGGGGCCATGTGGCGAGCAGGCTGGAGGGGAAGAGGCAGAATGGAGGCCAGGAGGTCAAGGAGAAGGCTGAGGCATGCAGGCGGAGAGGAAAAGGGCACCAGGCTCAGAGAGAGAGAGAGAGTGGCACAGCAAGTGGGTGAAGGCAGAGGGAGGACAAAGGCAGAGGGAGCACCTCACCTTTTAATCCTAATTGCCCCTCCACCCCCTGTGGCCCCTGCCTACTCTCCCTGCCCTCAGGGAGGTGGTTGAGGAGGAGAAGAAAAAGAAGAAAGATGATGATGACCTAGGCATCCCCCCTGAAATTTGGGAGCTCCTGAAAGGGGCAAAGAAGAGTGAGTACGAGAGGATTGCCTTCCAGTATGGCATCACTGACCTCCGGGGCATGCTGAAGCGGCTCAAGAAGGCCAAGGTTGAGGTCAAGAAGAGTTCAGGTCAGCACTGCTCAGAGGGGAGGTGGGCCCTCCCTAGGGGATCCCAGCATCATGGGTATTGGATGTTTGGACCCTGGGCCTATCTCTTGAAGGTCCCGATCTAAGGAGTAATAGGGCCCTGTAGTCAGGCACCTCCAAGTTCATGGGAGGATTCCTGACATTGACCTTGGAGAGCCCATGGTCTGGGGAGGGAGATGTGGCAGCTCTGGGGGGTGACCAGGGCAGTGAGAACCTCTCAGCTCCATGCACCCTGAATCCTTCAATCTCCAGCCTTCACAAAGAAACTGGATCCAGCCTACCAAGTGGACAGGGGCAACAAGATCAAGTTGGTGGTGGAAATCAGTGACCCAGACCTTCCTCTTAAGTGGTACAAGAACGGCCAGGAGATCAAACCAAGTAGCAAGTATGTGTTGAGGGACAGTCCCTCAGGGGGGTGGGGAGAGATCTGAGTCCCAGAGAGGGCCCAGATATAAATCGGACCACTCTTAACCCAGAAAGAGCCTCCCTCATTCATATGAAAAGTGTAAATACCTCAATAAAAAAAATTGACAAAGGAGGGGTGCCTGGCTGGCTCAGTAGGTGAAGCATGTGACCCTAGATGTCAGGATCATGAGTTCAAGTGCCATATTGGGTGTAGAGATTACTCCTTTTTTTTTTTTTTTTAATTTAAGGGTTTTGTTGTTGTTTTTTAAGATTTTATTTATTTATTTATTTATTTATTTATTTGACAGAGAGAGAGAGAGAGAGAGAGACAGCCAGAGAGGAACACAGGCAGGGGAGTGGAAGAGGGAGAAGCAGGCTTCCTGGTGAGCAGAGGGAGCCCGATGTGGGACCCACTCCAGGACCTGGGATCATGACCTGAGTTGAAGGCAGATACTTAATGACTGAGCCACCCAGGAGCCCCTAGAGATTACTCTTAAAAAATCTTTAGGGGCGCCTGGATAGCTCAGTTGGTTAAGCATCTCTCTTCAGCTCAGGTCATCCTAGGATCAAGTCCCGCATTGGGTTCCTTGCTCAGTGGGAAGTCTGCTTCTACCTCTCCCTCTGCCTCTCCTCCTGCTCATGTGCGTGCTCTCTCTATCAAATAAATAAATAAAATTTTTATAAATAAATAAATAAGCTTTTAAAAAAATTGTTCAAGGTAATGAAAACAAGAATTTGGTTGAGAAGAAACCAATGGCCAATGTGCTGTGGAGGACACATTCAACCTTGAAAATAACAGCAACAACAACAATAATAATGCAAATAAGTAATAGTCTTCTGCTCTCCAAATAGGCAAAGACTTTCCAAAATGATAAAACCCAGTGCTGGAGACAACATAGAGAAATGGGTACACAAATGCTGCTGGCAGGAATGGTACTTGCTAAATCTCTGAATGGGCAGTGTGTTAAAAATCTTTCAGATTGTGCAGTTTGAGGGATTTATCCTAAGAGAATTTCATGGTTGTGCATATTTCGCTGCAAGGATGTTCCCTAAGGCATTTGCTATTGTAGCAAAAATGGAAAACAACCAGAATGTATGATTCCTTGCCAAAGTTCTATGTGGTCACTAAGAATGAGATCCTAAAATGTATACTAATACAGGAAGCTGGTCAAAGTTTGCAAACGGGAAGAAGCGTGGTTCCCATTTCTGCTTCACACAATGTTAATCTACATACATATAGATAAAAAGATTGGAAAGACAGAGACCGAAATGTTTGCAACAGTTATCTCTTGGCTGGGTTTTAGTTTTATTATTTTTTTCTTGGCTGTGTGTGTGTGTGTGTGTTTTAAAGTTATTAATTTATTTAAGTCGTCTCTACACACAACGTGGGGTTCTAACTCAGGATTTCCAAGATCAAGTGTCAGCATGTTCTTCTGACTGAGCCAGCCAGGCGCCCTGGCTGTGTCTTCTAAGTTTCTCATCAGGAGCATGTTGGATAAGATAAAAAGTTAAGTTAGTTAAGGTCCAGGTTAAGTTGCTGTAAGAAAGTCCCTAGGTTACATTACTTGAAGTGAGAGAGAAATGTATTCCTAGCTGAGTGAGGCTGGCGGGTTGGCTTTCTTCTTAGAGATTGTTTGGGGACCCAGGTTCCACATTTTAGGCTACACCATTTCTTGTGACATTGTCTTCATCTGCTTGATTGAAGCTGGGTCATGGGAGACAGGAAGGGGGAAGGAGAGAAGTCTGAAGCAAGCAACACAAAGGTGGAGATGAAGTAGCAGTTATGCAGCTGGAATCCACTCACATTCCATTGGCCCAAGTTCAGTGGTGGTCCATTCTAGCTGCAAAGGAGGCTGGGAAATGTAGTTCTCAGGTCGGTAGCTGTGTGCTATTGCTAAATGGAAGGGGAGGATGGATATGGGCGGCGAGGGGGCACTTAAGATTTCTGCTATGGGTATTTAAATACTAGAAATTAGACCATCTGTCCGCTCCTGCACAATCTGGCCCTGAGAGGGAGTGACTTGCTTGAGAACTGGTGGGTAGATCAACCCCAGGCCCAGGATCTCCTCCAGGCTCTAGGCTAAGATAAGATTTTTGCACCAGGTATGTGTTTGAGAATGTTGGTAAGAAGCGAATTCTCACCATCAACAAGTGCACGCTGGCGGACGATGCCGCTTATGAGGTCGCTGTCAAAGATGAGAAGTGTTTCACCGAGCTCTTTGTCAAAGGTGAGGCTGAGATTTGGGCCTGAGCTTAGGGAGTGGAGCTCTGGGGTGGGGGTGGGGGGGTCCTGAAACTACTGACCTCCTGTCCCTCCATGTCTCACAGAACCTCCAGTCCTGATTGTCAAACCCCTCGAGGACCAGCAGGTGTTTGTGGGTGACCGGGTGGAAATGTCAGTGGAGGTATCAGAAGATGGTGCCCAGGTCATGTGGTAAGTGACTCTTGATCCCTGAGCTCCATACAGGTGCCCACAGCTTCTTTGCCTCAGCTCTGATCTTTGTGAGCCTCTTAGAGATTCTGAAACTTTACCCAATAGTCACCAGGAGACCTCAGCTCAGCCTTTCTCTATAAATCTTGACCTGCAACCCATGATCTCTTTCTGGAACTTCTGACCTCTACCCATCTTATCCTCTTCCAGCTCCTTTTCCTGATCCTTGCTATTTCAGATTCATTTATTTATCCATTCAATCAATCATCCATCCTCTGGTCCATCCACTCATGTGTCCATTCATCAGCCAATCCTTTATCCATCCATCCACTCCTCTATCCCATTGGTTCATCTGTCCATCCATCCATCCCTCCATCCACCTACCCATCCCCTCGCACACTCACTCACCCACCCTTCTCCTCATCCATTCATCCATCCCACATCTTTTCACCCACCCAACAAATATTTATTGAGCACCTATTATATGATGGCACTCTTCAATGTATTGGAGATATAATGGTGAGAAAATATACCAATGTGTCACCCACCCTTTTAGAGTTAATAATCTGGTAAACCTCTGGGGTATATGTGTAGGAGAGAGAGACATGTGTTAGTCAAGACATCACATGAATAAATACAAAAGTTCTATTTTGACAGGTGTTTCAGAAGAGCACTAACTGAAGCTATAATCACTTTTTAATAGGCAGAAGGGACTCAGGAGGTCAGGGAAGGCTTCCTGGAGGAGGTGACAATGGAGCTGAGGTTTGAATGATAAGGAGGTAGAAGAGAAGTGGGAAGGGAGGAGTTTCTCAGGTAGGGAAGTACCATTTAGAGAGGCCACAATATTTGATGTCTCTCTGGGACCCCAGGACTCCCTCCATGCCCTGACATCTCCCAGTGACCTTTCATTCCAACCAGGACCTTGCGGCATCTCCCTGTGGACTGTGACTTCCTGTGACCCACTATCCCACCTGTGATCCAACTATCCAAGATGCTTCTGTCAACCTGACTCTCTCCTCCCTCCTGGGACTGCCCTTCTTACCCTTGACCTCCGCTCAGGACTCTCTCTGGCCCTCCCCCTGTGATATCCAGACCCAGAGCTGTGTGGGTCTCTCACTTCTCTTCTTCACATTCCCCTTTGCCTAGGATGAAAGATGGGGTAGAACTGACACGGGAGGATTCCTACAAGGCTCGATACCGCTTCAAGAAGGATGGAAAGCATCACGTTCTTATCTACTCAGATGTGACCCTGGAGGATGGGGGTCACTACCAGGTCATGACCAATGGAGGCCAGTGTGAGGCCGAGCTCATCGTGGAAGGTATGGGGCCTCCAGGTGGGGAGGGGGGTGTTGCGATGTGTCAAGCTTCTCCTCACTCCTCAAAATTGCTCAGGCTCTGGGGTGCCTGGATGGCTCAGCCAGAAGAACGTGTGACTTTTGATCTTGGAGTCATGCGTTCGAGCCCCACGTTTAGGGTAGAGTGTTTACTTAAATAAAGAAAGAAACTTAAATTGCTCAGGGGCGCCTGAGTGGCGTAGTCGGTTAAGGGTCCAGCTCTTGGTTTCAGCTCGGGTCATGATCTCGGGGTCCTGGGATCGAGCCCCACGTCAGGCTCTGTGCTCAGCATGGAGTCTGCTTGTCCCTTTCCCTCTGCTTCTCCCCCTCTGCCCATCTCTCTCAAATAAATTAATAAATAAAATCTTTTTTAAAAAAAGATTTTATTTATTTATTCATTTGACAGACAGAGATAACAAGTAGGTAGAGAGGCAGGCAGAGAGAGAGGGAAGCAGTCTCCCTGCTGGGCAGAGAGCCCGATGTGGGGCTTGATCCCAGGATCCTGGGATCATGACTTGAGCCAAAGGCAGAGGCTTTAACACACTGAGCCACCCAAGCGCCCCTAATAAATAAAATGTTAAACAAACAAACAAACAAACAAACATTGCTCAGGCCCCGAATCTTGCAGTTGTCCCTGGCTCCTCTCTTGGCCTCCCCCGGCATTCAGTTCACCAGCGACTCCTGGCAGCTTCCCCTCAGAAGGTATCCAGGATCTGACCACTCTTCCCCTCCTCTGTTGCCCTCACTTGTCCCAGGCCTCCACCCCTCATGCCTGAACGACAGCACTGGTCAGTGGGTGCCCTGTTTCCATGGCCACCCCCTCCCCCACTCACATACACACCAGCCAGAGAGTGATCCTTGTAAAATGTAAGTCAGATGGTGGAAACTGAGCACACGGCTGTCTAGGGCCCAGGTCACTTTCCTGTTATGTAAGACGTCACCCTGTCCGCCAGGGGAAGCTGACTGAAAGCCACGTGGGACTCCATGCATTACATTTGCAAATGCTTGTGAGTGTGTAATTCCTTAAATATAAAAAAATGAACCAACCCCAAACTAAGGTATTTATGAGCCAAATCAATTATGGATGTCAATAAGAAGCCCTTAAAAATGGACAGTGTGACATGCACTGATATGTAAGGATTTCCAATATACCCTGTTGTCAGGTAAAAAAGCAAATATGTTACAATTTGCAAGGAGGGGAGGGGAGGAAGGAAGGAAAAGAAGAGAGGGAGGAGAGAAAACATATATACCTATTTGCTTTCATAGTGATCGACTAAACGGGTAGTGCCCGTTTGGAGAAGGGAGGATTAGAGGTGGGTAAGTAGGAGATAACCCCTTTACATCTAAATCCATTTCCTTGGGGCGCCTGGGTAGCTCAGTGGGTTAAAGCCTCTGCCTTCGGCTTGGGTCATGATCCCTGGGTCTGGGGATCAAGCCCCACATCGGGCTCTCTGCTCAGCAGGGAGCCTGCTTCCCCTCTCTCTCTCTGCCTGCCTCTCTGCCTACTTGTGATCTCTGTCAAATAAACAAATAAATAAAATCTAAAAAAAAAAATGCATTTCCTTTATTTAATTTTTTTTCCTTTTTTTTTTTTTAAGATTTAATTATTTATTTGAGAGAGAAAGAGAGAGAGTACAGGCAGGGGGATGGGGAAAGGGAGAAGCAGACTCCCTGCTGAGCACAGGGTCCAACTTGGCGCCCGAGCCCTGGACACTGGGACCATGTCCTGAGCTGAAGGCAGATGCCTAACCAACTGAGCCACCCAGGGCCCCCACTGCCTTTATTTTTAAGGCATATAAATGCATTGTTTTGTTAAAAAAAAAAATACGTCAGAGCCCAGCCATCTTTACAACATTCTCTAGTGGCTCCTGCCTGGCTGGGAGTCCTCTCTGGGGCCCCCAAGGTCTGTGATCTGGCCCCGTCTGCCCCTGCCCAGCTCATCTCCTACCATGTCTGCCTCGCTCACTGCGTGTTGGTCTCCTCGCTGTTTCCCACACCGAGCCTGCTCTGCTGCACAGGGCTTTTGCACATGCTGTTCCTGTTACTGGGGGACTCTTCCGCATTCTCGCACAGACTCTTCCCTGCCCTCCTTCAGGCTTCATCACTCCCTCTTGTTATACATTTCTTTCTTTCTTTTTAAGATTTTATTTATTTATTTCTCAGAGAGAGAGAGAGAGAGAGTGTGAACGCATAAGCAGGGGGAGTGGCGGGCAGAGGGAGAAGCAGGTTCCCCAATGAGCAAGGAGCCTGTTGCGGGACTCGATTCCAAGACCCTGGGATCATGCATGACCTGAGGCAAAGGCACATGGTTAATCTACTGAGCCACCTAGGTGTCCTTGTTGTACGTTTCTGTGTTTCCCTGTTCACCGACCGTCTCCACATTAGAATATGAGCTCCACCAAGACGGTGGATGTTTCTGGGCTGTTCACAGCTATATCCCCAGTGCCTGGAACAGCGCTTGTGAATATCTGTGGGCCGCCTGGAGTTCTCATGGCCTCGTATCCTTCTCTCCCCGCCCAGAGAAACAGCTGGAGGTCCTGCAGGACATCGCAGATCTGACAGTGAAGGCCTCGGAGCAGGCCGTGTTTAAGTGTGAGGTGTCTGACGAGAAGGTGACAGGCAAGTGGTACAAGAATGGGGTCGAGGTGCGGCCGAGCAAGAGGATCACCATCTCCCACGTGGGGAGGTGCGGAGTAGACCTTGGAGGTGGCGGAGAGGGGAGGGGTGCGTGGGGGTGGCGTGTGTATCAGTTGGCTATCGCTGCAGAACAACCATCCATCTACTTAGTGGTTTAAGGGGAAGGGAGCCACAGGCTGCAGGGTCTTTCCGCAAGGGGCACAGATACAGGGAGGGGAGAACCTGTGGCCATGTCTGCCAACAGTCTCCTACAAAGTGCGGGAGACGTCTAGCTGGGGTAACAAAGGGACTGGAATTCAACAGGTGGCACAGGGACATCCAGGAGAAGCACCTGGTGACCTGTGGGATGTGGAGAGCCACCGTGAGGCCAGAACAGCATGCCCAAGCGCGTGTGCCCCCGTAGGGTGGTGAATTGCATTTCCTGACCACAGCTCTTGGCAGAATGCAGGCTTTCTCCAGGTTCTGTGTCAGGAACCCTGCCTGCCAGGAGTGTCGGTAACTCTGAGAATGAATTATAACGCTTATGGGGCATTTATTACATGCTGGGAGAGTTTTACTTCTTTTTTTTTTTTTTTTAGATTTTATTTATTTATTGGACAGATAGAGATCACAAGTAGGCAGAGAGGCAGGCAGAGAGAGAGGAGGAAGCAGGCTCCCTGCTGAGCAGAGAGCCCGATGAGGGCCATGATCCCAGGACCCTGGGATCATGACCTGAGCCGAAGGCAGAGGCTTTAACCCAGTGAGCCACCAGGTGCCCCAAGAGTTTTACTTCTTCACAACAACCCTGCTGTAGACTGCTCATGATTCCTCTTTTATGGATGAAGAAATTGAACACACAGGGGGCTTAGCTAACTTGCCCAAGGTCACACAGCTAATAAGTGGCAAAGATGAGATTTGAATTCAGATGATAGCATTTCAAAACCCAGAATAAAAATGATAGGCCTGGGGGAACAGTGCCTGGCAGGCTCAGTTGGTGAAGCATCCGCCTTTGCCTTTGGCTCAGGTCCTGATCTCTGGGTCCTGGGATCGAGCCCCACCTTGGACTCTGAACTCAGTAGGGAGCCTGCTTCTCCCTCTGCCTTGCCCTTAGCCCCGCTCTTGCTTGCTCTCTCTCAAATTAAAAAAAAAAAATGGTGGGCCAGGGGACTTAGAGTGCATCGAGAGGGTGTTTCTCTGGGAGGCTGGCTGGCTCTTTTGGAAAGATGTGTGATTCTCGATTTCTGCATTATGACTTCGAGCCCCACATTGGGTGCAGAGATTACTTAAATGAATAAACTTTTTTAAAAAGGTGTTTCTCCATGGTGATCCATGGGGTGACCCACCTGATTCCTGCCTTGTACCCACAACACCTTAGGTTCCACAAGCTAGTGATCGATGACGTCCGCCCTGAAGATGAGGGAGACTACACATTTGTGCCCGATGGCTATGCCCTGTCCCTCTCAGCCAAGCTCAACTTCCTGGGTGAGGGTGCCCCTCTGTGTTCCCCAGGGGCCAGAGCACCCACCTTCCCAGACCCCAGAGCCCAGATCCCTCCTTCACGATTAGGTTTCCCTAGTGTGTATTAGGGGTGACAGCAGGCGGCGTCTGATCTTGTGGGAGGAGTCAGATGAAAACATGGAGGGAGAGAGCACTATACATCTGACGAGTGTCCACCTGGGGGGAGGGGCAGTCATGGGCCTGGACCCATGCCCAGCCGCCCCCCGGGTCCCTGGGTGATGCCAGACCTTCCCCTCAGCCTCTGGGGTGGGAGGGTGGGATTAGGGGTCCACTGGATTTAGAGCTAACAGAGCCATCTTCTTTGTCCTCCAGAAATCAAGGTGGAGTATGTGCCCAAGCAAGGTAAGGACCAGGGGTTGCTGTGCTAACCTGAGGGTCTGGACTCCTGGGTCTGAGGGAGGAGGGGCTGAGGGGCCTGGATTCCTGGGTCTGAGGGAGGAGGGGGTTGAGGGTCTGGACTCCTGGGTCTGAGGGAGAAGGGGGCTGGGGGTCCTGACTCCTGGGTCTGATGGAAGAGGGGCTAGGGGCAGGACCCCAGGATTTCTATGGCTATTGGAGCCCAGCTCTTGGGGAACCCAGCTTGCCTTGGTGGGGATCAGGATGACCTAGCTGCCCACTCCCAAGTTCCCCAGTATCTCTTTTTTGCCACTAGAGCCACCAAAGATCCACCTGGACTGCTCAGGGAAGACCTCAGAGAATTCGATTGTGGTTGTGGCTGGAAACAAGCTGAGGCTCGATGTGTCCATCACCGGGGAGCCTCGTCCTGTTGCCACCTGGCTGAAGGGAGATGAGGTATGGCAGGGCTCCCCCCAACCCCGTGCCCTGACTTCTTCTCCCTCTCAGCTCTGCTGGGCAACTTGGGGCAAGTGGCTTCCCTGTCTGAGCTTCAGGTTCATTGTCTGTAAAGTGAGAATGATGGTCCTTCAGAGGATTGAAGACTGGAGATTGTATTTGTCTATCACATGGTACTGGCCTGCCACATGGTGGGTGCTCCCTCCCTCCCTCCATCCATGCCTCCCTCCATCCCTCCCTCCATCCATCCCTCCATCCACCATCCATTAATCAGTCAGCCAACAAATCCAGCTGTCCATCAACTCAACCATCCACCCATCTTTCCATTCATAAACTTATCGATTATATAATTCATCTGGCCATCTTCTCATCCAGTAATTAATCCATTTGTCCATTTATCCATCAGTCAGTCCAAGGTCCCATCCATCCAACAGATATTTTTATTTTGTATGTTCCAGGCACTGGACAGTTCAAGTTTTCTTCCATCGTCTAGGCTTCAGAGTCCTAGTCTGTAAAATCGATAGACTTGACTCAACTTTCATTCATTCCTTCAGTCAACAAACACAACCCCTATGTCTTCCTCTCTGTGGGGCTCTGTGCATAGCATTGGGGATACCACCATGAGGGGGGAGGTAGAGGGAGGCGGACAAATGCCCAAGCAGTCACAGTCTGGGGTGACCAGGCTGAGATAAAAGGGGGGGTACTGGAAACTCTGAGACTTCAGGGGGTAGGGCCATCACTTTCAGCTGGGGGCTTCCAAGATGGCTTCCCAGAAGAGGCGACTTCTAGGCGAGTCCTAAAGGATGAGTAAGAGCGAGCGAATAGAAGAGTGGCTGAGGGGATCGCATGCCACATCTTTGGGATTTTAATTCAGGGTGGTGTTTGGAGGATGAGGAGGGCAGCAGGGAAGAATGGTGAGGCTGGGTGTAAATGCAACGGGTCCTCTTGCTCTGGGTCCAAGGCCGTGTGTGTTGTGTGGTGATGAGGAGCCGTTGGAGGACTCTGAGCGGTCAGGGCAGAGGTGGGCCTGGGCTTGGGGAGAGATGGAACAAGGTCACCCCGTGGCTGTGTCCAGTTGTTCGCAGCCACTGAAGGCAGGGTCCGCATCGAGAATCTGACAGACATCAGCAGCTTCGTGATCGAGAGTGCCGATCGAGCGGATGAGGGCCGCTACACCATCAAGGTCACCAACCCCGTGGGCGAGGATGTGGCCTCCATCTTCGTGCGGGTTGTGGGTAAGCAGAGGGAGCTGAGGGAATGGGCCAGGGTGGCTCCCTGAGGCCCTGAGGGACCCGCTGATCATCCTGTCTCCCGCAGATGTCCCAGACCCCCCGGAGGCTGTGCGGGTCACCTCTGTTGGAGAGGATTGGGCCATTCTTGTCTGGGAGCCACCCAAGTACGATGGGGGGCAGCCAGTCACCGGTGAGTGCCTGTATGCTGGAGTCCCCATGACCTCTGACTTCTCTTACTCCCCCTGCCCCGCCACCCCAACGATCGCTTGGCCTTTGAGAGTTCTTAGCATCCTTGGTGATCTCCCTCTGAGATGGGTTTTCCATCTTGGATGTCTTGCAATTCCTTTGGTCTTCCCTCTCATTCGTTGCTTCCCAGCAACCTGGGGACCTTCACTTATAGCATAGGGTTTTCTATGATCCCTGACTCCTGATTCATGACTCGTGACTGTTCCTGAGCCCCAGCCCCATGACTGGTGACTACTGACTGCTCTGTGACCCCGAGACCAACCCAAGATTCATGTCCTCAGACATCTCTGGGGTCACGTGACCTTTTGATGTGCCTCTCACTGCTACAACTGACCTGCGACCCCATAGTCTCCCCATGGGCATCACTCCTCTCTGTTGGGCGGGGCGTCCAGGTTACCTCCTGGAGCGGAAGAAGAAGGGCTCTCAGCGCTGGATGAAACTGAACTTTGAGGTCTTTACGGAGACGACCTATGAGTCCACCAAGATGATCGAGGGCGTCCTCTACGAGATGCGGGTCTTTGCGGTCAATGCCATTGGTGTTTCCCAGCCCAGCATGAACACCAAGCCCTTCATGCCTATCGGTAATGCTCCTCTGCACCCTCCCCAAACCCCTGTCCATCTCCAACCCCTGCCCTACCTGTTGCTGATCTCTGACCCTACACCTGGCCTTTGAACCTCCAGCCCTAACCAACCTCCCGACCTCTTACTGACCCAGTACATTAGTCACCAATCTCTATGATCCTAGACTCTGTGCCTTTGTCCAGATCCCTCATAGACCTCTGACCTACCAGACCAACACTTCTCCCTCCTCCTGGAGACCTCACCATCCCTTGATATACGTTGTGGTTTTAATGACTCATGATGACATGTCCTGGCTCATGGACCTCTGGCCCACCATACTGCTCCCTTTCCTGATCAATGACTCCAACTCTGATTCCTGCCCCTCCCCCTGACCACCGACCCCTCATTTGCTTCCACCTTCCTTTTCCCTGGATTCTTACAGCACCCACGAGTGAACCCTTGCACCTGACAGTGGAAGATGTGACAGACATGACCACCACTCTCAAGTGGAGACCTCCAGATAGGATTGGGGCAGGCGGCATCGATGGGTACCTGGTGGAGTACTGCCTGGAGGGCTGTGAGTGGCCCCGTCAGGTCTGGGGGTGGGGGCGTGGTGTATCACACAGAGCCCTGCTGGGGGTCCAATCCAGGGGACTGCAAAGAGGGCAGTGCAAGGAGAGCTCTTTGGTGGGTGGGCTGGCCTAGCCCTGTGTCTGTACTTGCTTTGCTTGAATCCCCGAATGGGATGGCTCAAGCCAGGCCCCCATTGACCAGCTTGTCCTCTCTCCCTCCCTCCCTCTCTCCCATCCTCCTTTCCCTGTACCCATCTTCCATACAGTAATGCTTTTCCATCCATCTATCCATCATCCCTGTAATTATTGACTACCTATATTCCTTCTTTCTCTCATCCCTCCCTCCCTCCATTTTTCCATCCGTCCTTCCTTCCTTCCTGTCTTCCTTCCTTCCCTTCTTCCTGCATTCTTCCATCCATTTGCCCACCATTGGTCATCCATCCAACCATCTGTCTATCCATCTGAAAATCTTTTGGATTAACAAACTATCCATCCATCTTGTAATATGTTTTCCATCTGTATATTTATCTCTTTACCACCATTTTTCTTCCCTCTTCCCTCCCTCCTTTCCACCCTCCTTTCCTTCTTCCCATTCATCCATTTCCCTATATGACCACTGTCTACTGGTCATGACATCTGTCTACTGTCTCTCCATCTTTCTGTGTATCCATCCACCCATCCACCCATCTTTCCACATATCCAACTCTCCATTCTCCACTGAACAAACACGTTCTGAGAGCTGGACTCCGTGCCAGGCTCGGTGCCATGACTGTGGGGGTACCTGCAACACGGTCATCTCACTGGGAAGACAGACGTGATCCTCTCAACACCGTATCCCAGGCCTTAAAGTCAGACAGACGTGGGTTCCCATCCTGCCCTACACTTTCCTTCATCTAAAAATGGGCGAAGACAGTTGCCTCCTTGACAGGGTACAGTGATGACTGCATCTTGTAATGCATGTAAATGATGGATGGTTGGACTCTAATCAGCTTCTTCCCTCTTTCTCTTTCCAGCGCTCTTTACCCCATTCTTGCCCTTGCCTATCCCACTCCCATCTGCGCCAGGCCACTATGATGTTTCAGGACCTAGTCTCATTAGAGTTCGCCCTGGTGGTGGTTGGTCTGACCCACATTTGTTCACCAACCTATGGCAATAAACCTAAGCTAGAAAGCAAGGGGGCAGGAAATCCGAGAAGCTGTCTCTAACCAGCCCCCCATTCTCTACTCCTCTGAATTTTGATTTCCCCATCTCTAAAATGGGGATAACATAGGACAGAGGCAGAGATCAGTGAGTTAACTAACACGTGTGCCACCCTTCCAATCTGTTCATAGTAAGTGCTTAACAAATATCAGCTGCCCCTGTTTATTGTAGTCAGCCCAGGGAACGGGAAGGGACAACCAGCTGAGGTGCTTCTAGAAGGTTCCCAGCATGGCTTCTCTTTTGTAGCCGAGGACTGGGTCCCAGCTAACACGGAGCCCATAGAGCGCTGTGGCTTCACCGTCAAGAATCTCCCCACGGGAGCAAAAATCTTGTTTCGGGTAGTGGCAGTCAACATTGCGGGGCGCAGCGAGCCCGCCTCCCTGTTCCAGCCCGTCACCATCCGGGAAATTGTGCGTAAGTGACTCTGACCCCACTCTCCCAAAGACCAAGTTGCCGTCATCCGGCCTGCTCTTGCCATGTCATCATTAGGGCCTCCCCCAAGAACGTCATCACCACAGTCTCTCTGTCCCTCCCTCGAGTGTCCCCCAGCCCAGGACTGAGCCCCCATTCCTGTGTCTGTGCCCTCAGAGCAACCCAAGATCCGGCTCCCGCGCCATCTCCGCCAGACTTACATCCTCAAAGTGGGGGAACACATCAACCTCGTCATCCCCTTCCAGGTGCGCCGAGCTGGGGTTGGGCTTAGGGGTCAGGGCCCAAGGGTGAGGCCCAGGGTGGGGCCGAGAGCGAGACCCGGGCTGACCTCTTGGCCTCCCTTCCTTCCGCCCCCACCCAGGGAAAGCCCCGGCCCCAGGTGGTGTGGACAAAGGGCGGGGCGCCCCTGGACCCCAATCGTGTGCACGTGCGCACCAGCGACTTCGATACCGTGTTCTTCGTGCGCCAGGCGGCACGCTCGGACTCGGGGGAGTACGAGTTGACGGTGCAGATTGAGAACATGAAGGACACGGCCACCATCCGTATCCGGGTCGTGGGTGCGCGGGCAGCTGGGGCAGTGGGGAGGCATTGTGATCCAGGAGATGGGACGTGAAGAGATTGGGACGGAAACAAGGACATGAGGCTGGGATGGGGCCAAAGGGCGAGGAAGCGGGAGTGGGGAAAGGCCTAAGCCTGATCAGAATCCTGGGACCAGGTGAGGGGGCTTAGGTGGGGAGAGATGCAGGGAGGAGGTAAGGGGTTGGCGTCTGACAACCGCCCCCCCACCCCCCGCACCATTCCAGAAAAGGCAGGACCAGCAGAGAACGTGATGGTGAAGGAGGTGTGGGGTACTAACGCGCTGGTGGAGTGGCAGCCCCCCAAAGATAATGGGAACAGTGAGATCACGGGCTATTTTGTCCAGAAAGCCGACAAGAAAACCATGGTGAGAGACCCGAAGGGCCGGGGTGGGGTGGGATGGGTGATATCCCCAGAGCAGATGCCATTGTCTCCAGGTCACTGCTGGGAAAGGGAAACCCGCCTTGGAGAGAGTGGGAGCATGGGCTGGGGCTGGGAGGGAAGCCTTTTGGGCACAAGGTGGGTTTTCTTTTCCTTTTTCTTTTTTTTAAACTAAGGTAAAATTCACATAAAATTAAGCATTAACAATTTTAAAGCTTTTAGTCTGTTCCCACTATTGTGTCACCAACACAACTAGTTCCAAGACATTGTCATGTCCCCAAAAGGACACGTCACACCCACTAAGCATCCCCCTCCCCCCCCAGCCGCAGGCAGCCACTAATCTGCTTCCTATGTGTATGGATTTGCCTTCTCTAGACTTTTCATATAAATAGGAACTCGCGATACGCAGCTTCCTTTGCTCAGAAAGTTTTCCTGGTCCCCCCAAATTGCGACGTGGATTGGGGTTTCAGTCCTTTCCATGGCTGAGTGAGAGTGCCTGGTTTGGACCTACCATGTTTTGCTTCTCCATTTAGCCGCTGACGGGCACGTGGGCTGTTCCCATCTCTTGGGCCATTGTGAACAGTGCTGCTGGGAACTACAAGCTGTCTTAGCGGGATGCACACTTTGGTGTGCTTTGCTCACGCCCTGGGCCTTCTTGTGTCCGTGTTCCTATGTCTGATTCTCCCGGCCCCTCCCTGTCTGTCCCCCACTGTCCCAGGAGTGGTTTACCGTCTACGAACACAGCCGGCACACCTCCTGTACGGTGCCTGACCTCATTGTGGGCAACGAGTACTATTTCCGCGTTTTCAGTGAGAACATCTGTGGGCTCAGCGACTCCCCCGGTGTCTCCAAGAACACGGCCCGGATCCTGAAGACAGGTCCTGCCACCTCACTTTGTGGAGTCCAGTCTCCTCTCTTGGCTGGGATTCTACCTTGACTCCTTTCCCCGCCCCCATACTCAAAGCTGATGGCACCCGGTGATGGAAGAGAGGCAGTAAGGGGCCAGTCCAGATGGGCACCTGACAGGTGCATCTCCCTTTACCCAGGTATCACCTACAAGCCGCTTGAGTACAAGGAGCATGACTTCCGAACACCTCCCAAGTTCCTGACGCCTCTACCAGACCGGGTGGTCGTGGCTGGTTACGCTGCTGCCCTCAACTGCGCGGTCAGAGGCCACCCAAAGGTGCCGTGTGTGTGTGTGTGTGCATGTGCGTGTGTGGATGTGTGTGTGTGTGTGACCCTAGAGGGACATCTTCACCCAGATCCAGCCATACTACCTCCTTCCCCCTGACTTCTCTCTCCTCTGTTCATGGGATTTACTCACTTTTAACCCACTTCCTGCCTCTCCCCACTTCAAGCAGAGCCCAAGTCTCATAATTACACTCCAGCTTCCCTCGGAAACAGAAAACTCTGACAGGAGCTGGGGGGAGGTCTGGACCTCCAGGGCTCCCAGGCAGCTTCTGTCCTGTCCAGTTTCCCAGCTGCTGTTGGGAATGTGGACACTTGCAACCTTGAGTTCCAGTGACTCACCTGGACCAGGGGCTGGCAAAAGAGGGCTCTCTTTTCTGCTTGTCACCAGGATCTCTAAATCAAATGTTATTGGGATGTGGCTGTGCACGCTTCAGAGCCTGAAATAATGACTACCTGGCCTTTACAGATGAAGTTTGCTGGCCTCTGGTCAAGTTTTTGGCTTCAGCCCTGTAGGCCCCCCGTGGATTCATTAGCTCTCCTCCTCCATCGACGTCCACCCACTTCGTTCGCTAACTGTAACTCCTTCATTCATTTGGTTCCTTGACTCGCCTGCCAAGCCATTCGTTTCCTTAGCTCATTTATTCTCTCCATGTGCGCTCTTACGTCACTCACACACGAGGTCTGTTCATACGCTCAGCTCACGGTTTCAGAGGCTGTGTGTGCTGGTGAGCTGGATGTTCGGGGATACTGACATGAATCTGAAGTCATGCACATGACTGCGACACTACGAAGGGTGGGCTGCGTGTCGGAGCCCTGAGGGTAGTTGTGAGTGGACAGTGGGCGTTCCTGCCGCAGCCCAGGCGCCTGAGAGGACATGTGAGCAGAGCCCTGAAAGATAAGCCGGTGCTGATTAGGGGGAGGGAGGAGGGAAGAGCAGTACTGGAAGAGGGAACAGCCAGTGCGCCAAGGTCCTGGGGTGGGAGCCTGTTGGGTCTGAGGAAAAACTAGGCAGCTGGTGTGGATGGAGCAGAGGGAGGGAGCGACGGCAGAAGAGTAATGGGGCCAAATGGCATAGGGTTCTGTGGGCCACAACAGAGAGTGAGCTCTTCCCCTCACGAAGAGGGTACTGAGAGTCAGAGAGGAGAAATGACTAGTTCAGGGTCATCAATCAAAATCAGGTGGCAGGACAGCCAAGGATTGCCTCCAGATCTGCCTTCCAAAGCCCACTTTGCCATCACCCGCGGACCTTCCCTAAGCTGGCCTCTTCTCCCACTCCACTCCACAGCCGAAGGTGGTCTGGATGAAGAACCACATGGAAATCCGTGAAGACCCCAAATTCCTGATAACCAACTACCAGGGAATCCTGACGCTCAGCATCCGCCGCCCGTCTCCCTTTGACGCGGGGACCTACTCCTGCAGGGCTGTCAACGAGCTGGGGGAGGCGCTGGCCGAGTGCAAGTTGGAAGTCCGAGGTGAGCGCCCTGCCTGGCTGCCCCTCGCCCCTTCACCCCTGCTCCCACATAGGGACCTGGAGGCCCTGGGCCAAGCCGTATGGAGGGCAGAGCTGTCATCCCGGTGCCCCTAGGTGTGTAACGGGGAAGCCGGATTCAGACCCCTCCAAGAATGATGCAGGGTGACATGTGCACAGGGCACTGTAGGGGTGGGGCTGGGGAGCACCTGATCCGGCGGTGGCAGTCATCTGAGGAAGTTTTCGAGAAGGAGTTGAAGGACAGATAAGAGGTGAATGAGATGGAGAAGGGCTGGCAGGTGATCACCAAGGCTCTGCTGGGCCTGGCCTATGTGGGGAGAGGTGCAGGTGCCCAGAAAAATGCCTCTTCTCCCCAAGCTCTGTCCCTCCCATCCCCTCCTCTCTACCTCCCCCCACCAGCCCCAGCCCTGATCACTTCTTCCTCTGGAATTCTTGCCTGGCCTTCCTGCCTCCCATCTTTCCCTCCAGCCCATCCTCCACAGGGCCCCAGGGGGTTCTCTATCTGGGGCTGACTTGCCCCTCCCCTGCCCGTGGCCCTCCCCAGGTTCCCCAGCAGCTCTGAAGCCTCTCAGCCTGGTGTCCATGGTCCTGCGCCCTCTCCCATGTGCCCCGCTCTGGCCTCATGTACCCCGTTTTCCTCAACACTGTTCCAGCCACACCCAAGCTGTTGGCAGTTGGACAAACTGGTTGTGGTTTCTCTTGTCCCTAGGACTTTGCACATGCCATTCCCTCTACCTGGAATGCTTTTCCTCACCTCCTCTGCGTTGGGCTCTTGCCCATCAAACATCTGCCAGTCCAGGCTCACTGGAGTAGCCGCTACCCAAGTCCCTCAGATGTGACTCATATAAATACAGGCTTCCAGGGTCCCTCCCCAGTTGTGACTCCCCCTGGCCCTGATGACTGCCCAGAAGACAGATGTGACCATAGACTCTTAACAAGCGAGACCATCTCCGCACCTTACTGGCTGCCATTAAGAACACTGCTCTTCCAGGCTGAGCCAATTTGTAATGTTTTGCTATCCCCTTTATTAATTATTGAATCAGCTTGGAAATATCCCTACTTTGGGATTCCAGTGACAGCTTGTCACTGGCAGCTTAGAAATCCCTGATCAGAACATCCCAGTCTGGGGTTCAAAGCCACAGGTACTGTCCGCACCAGGACAGTGGTTTCACTGCCCCACTGAGATGTGAAGGACCCACGTGCTCCCCCTGCTGGCCCTGCAAATCCAGAGGCAAAGGAGCCTGGGGGTGGGGCACAGGGACTTGGGAAGCCCACCCCACCTTACCCACTCTTTTCTCATTTCCCCTGCAGTGCCACAGTGAGACTGTCTTCCACCTGCCAAAGTAATTGGCTGCTGGGTCCTAACCTGGACCTCCCTGAACATTGCTGTTTCCCTTTCCAGAGTTACCACTAAGATAATAGTCTTGTCTACAACCTGTGTGTGTCTGTCCTTCTTGAATCTCTAGCTCCACTGCCTTCTTCCTGTAGGGAGTTAGTCACCTGGGTGTGGGTGATGGGGACAGCAGGTTGGAATGGTAACCATGATAAGACAGTCCTGATGAAACAGACCACGTTGAGGCTGCCATCTTGGAATGGCTACTTTAGTGATGCTACCATGTTGCCATGGCAATTACAAGTCTCAGGTGAACCAAGACCTCATAGAGGAAGTCCTCTGGGACTAGCTACTATGAATGGGAAGGAGACAGGCAGGCTGCAGTGGCAACTACAATGAGTTAAAGAGGAAACAAAGCCCAGATGGGGAAGACCACTCTAGTGAGGTAGTCATGATGGAATGGTGGGCACTAGGTCTCACGGTGGCCCCGGGAGCCACACACGATGAACCGAACACCATGTTGAGGCAGCCATGTTGAATTGGTGATGTTGACAAAAGTGCTCATGACCTGCTTGTTGGTTCTTAAGTGGCCGATCTTTATTAACTTTAATAATTCATCTTTCTGGCCCTGAGATAGGGTACTTTGATCTCTGGTCCTTTGGTGACCTCATGGGTATTGGGAGGAATCAGAGTCCCCAGAGTTCAGAGGTCTGTGGGTCAAGTCTGGCTTCCATGGCTTGAAGCTGGGTATAAGAAAGAATTTGTCTCAGAGGTCTTGACCTGCAGATGTATCAGCAGTTTGGGGGTGGGTAGGTGGGGTGACTTTGTACTTACCTGGAAGGTGGGGGGAGTGGGGTGTCTCAAGAGGAAGATACCCCACAGGTTTCAATGCTCCCACCTTCAAAGACTGGTGCTCCTCTCCTCCCCCTGGCCTTATAGGGAACTGGACATCCGGTTTGGCCCACCCTAGCCCTTCTGGGCCCAGGTGTCCCTCCCCCATATCCCACTGAAGTAGGTCAAGGGGAGAGAGGCTGGGGGATGGGGGGTGCCCAGTTGAGAAACTTGGCTCGTGTCCCCAACCCTGCCCTGCCTTGAGATCTTGCTGTCTCTACACAGAGATTTCATACCCTTCCAGGACTCAGGAGTGAGGCCTTCCTTGGCGCCCTGCGCTCTCAACACAGGAATCCAGGCCCCCAGCCCCTCCCACACACTCAGTAGTCCAGGTTCCCAGCCCTAGCTCTGGGTAGTCCAAATTTCCAGCTGCTTCCTCCACCGCCCCCCACCCACCCCGGAGTCCAGCCCCAGCCACGCCCTCTCCCCGCCCCACCTCCTCCTCAGCATCCCCGTCCCTCCTCCCACCTCCTCCCGCTCTATCAGGTCGTCGTCCTCGTCGTCCTCGTCGTCCCCATCCTCCACCGGCGAGTACTCCTGCGTGAAAGGCACGGCTCCCTCCGCCGAATGGAAACGCAGTCGGTAGAGCAGCCGCACCCACTGGCCGAACTCGCGGTCTCGGCTCTCGGCCGGGGCCCGCAGCTGCAGGTAGAAGGCGCGGCCGGTGCGGAACTTGACCTTGAGTTGCCAGCGGCTTTCGTCGTGGACGAACAGCTGGACGAACTGCAAGGGGAACAACCTGGGAGGGCGGAAGGGGCAGCCTCAGGTTCTGACGCTCCGTGGCTCGGCAGCCTTGCCATCCCGGGCGCCTTCAGGGTCGGGGTCGCCCACCCCAACACCCCTCTCTCAGCCCAGAGACAGTCCCTTTTCACTTTCTCTGCCTCTTGAATTTTTTCCATCCCCACATTTCTTCCCTCCCCACATTTCTTCCATCCCCACAGTACTTCTGTGTCTCCCGCTGGTCCTTCTAATAGGTAGCCGCCTTCTTGAGATTTCCAGTTGAATATGAGAATGACATCGGACCCATAACAGGTCCAACGACCAAATTCCTGACCTTCTCCCCAACTCAAACCTGCTTCTCTTTGCCTTCCGCATCCTAACTATATCCTCCCACTGCTCCGTCAGAAGTCGTGGGGCCCATGTTGCTCTCATATCCTCATCCAATCCTGCCACCAAATCCTGACAGCTCCACCGTTAAAATGCCACCGTCTCCAGGATCCGGCCACTTCTAAACCCTTCGGCCACCAGCCGGGGCTCACCGCCCGCCCAGGCAGCTGCCTCAGCCTTCACCGCTCCGTTCCCATGCGGCCGCCAGAGGGCGCAGGCCAACACCCGAGTTCACGTCCCTCCCATGACTCCTGCGGCTCCGAGTAAAGGCAAGGTCCCTCGGCACCTTGACCTTGGCCCCACAGGATCCGCCTCCTCTGTTTACCTCTCTGCTCACTCCCCTCGCTCACTCAGCCCCAGCAACACCAGCCTCTCTGCGGTTCCATAAACCTACCAGGCGAGCTCCTACCTCGGACCCTGCCTCAGGGTGGGAATCTTCCTCCAGCCAGCCCTATGGCTTGGCCCCTTAATCTTGTGTTTCTCAAGAAACGCCTTCTCTCTGGGGAAGGTGTTTACCACCCTTTTCACCCTTGCAGTCCTCCCCACCCCCTCTGCCCCATCTGTCTCCACAAACCTTACCCCCTTGGACAAATTGTCATTTATTCTGTTTGCCTTCCCAGATGGGGAGTTTGAAGGCAGAGATTTTGATCTCATTTTGTTCGCTGCTGCTCCCCGAGTACCCAGGGCTCACATGGTCGGTGCTCAGTGGATGCTTGTTGAGAGGGGCAGTCATATACCACCCTCTGGCCTGGCAATGCTACCTCTGGGGACAGACACCCTCACGCCCGTGCGCATGGACGCCCTCTGCCTACCGTACTGGCTGCAATCCCAAGACACTGGGCACCACATCCCTCAGTAGGTGGCTTCATCTCTTTATGACATTCCCCAAGTGGCAGAATAACAGTTGATGTTTACAAGGTGCTGACCCCTTGCCAGGGGCTGTTCCAAGCGCTTCACAAACATTTACGCAGTTTCTCCCCTGACAGCCCGGGAAGCTGGGCTCTCCTCTAATCCCCATGTTCCAGATAGGGAAATCGAGGCACAGACAGGTAGGGAACTTGGCCAAAGCCAGTGAAGAAGAGGTGAAGTCAGGATTTGAACCCAGGCAGGATGGTAGCAGCACCAGATGAAAACTTGGGAGCCCAAAAGAGGATGTGGGGCTTGTAGTTATGTTGATATAAAGTGAATGCTGATCCAGTGCTGATGAGGGAGTGAGCAGAGAGGAAAAGTAGCATGCACCTGCCCCTGGTTTTAAAGGAAGGGTGAACATATATATGCTTATAGAATGGGCCCAGGCTAGCTCCAGGCTGCAGGCTAGAAGTGAAGGACTAGGGGCTGGTGAGTCTTGCTTTATTTGCAGAGCAAGTTCAGTGCTTTTACTTTGACGGTATGCTTTTTTGGGGGGATGGTGTTGAAGGGGTTCCAAGCACCCCTTGGCACTGTCATTAGGGTCCCTCCCACTGCAGCTCTCCACTCAGTGAGCGGTGAGGTCGATTGGTGGGACAGATTAGCACTGAAAGGAAAAGAAGCAGTGTAGAAGCAAAAATGCCCTGGTGCACCGTAAGGTGTCAGCACACTGCTTTGTGGAATGTTCTAAACTTATACAGGGGGGATACATTAAAGGCTGTAAGTAGCCTTCATTTAGTTGAGGTCAGAATCAGATTCTGCCACCAAGTGGGTTGCAAAAGAACTTTTTAGGTTTCAGAACTGCAGACAAAGAACTGTGGACCCCTATGTGTGTGTGTGTGTGTGTGTGTGTGTGTGTGTGTGATGTAAGTCTTTCCTTCATTTCCTCCCTTTCTCTCCTTAACTGTGAGATGTAGTCAAAAAAGTGAAAGCCACTGGCAGAATGCTTTTATAGTATACTACACGTATGTACATGTTTTGTTATTGGCAGCTGGAGCTGGAGGCAGGAGCCTAGGATGGGCGAAAGGTGTTATTTTGTGCTATGTATGTTTTGTACCTTGATGTGTATTTGCATTCCTTTTTCAGTGAGAAAACAAAAGACATGTAGGGCTTGTGTTTAGTGTGGCACTGGAGCTCAAGAGTCATGAGGTCAGGGGCACCTGGCCGGCTGGGATCCAGCCCTGAGCCAGGCTCCCTTCCTCTTGCTCTCCCTCTCCCTCTGCCATTCCCCCTGCTTATGCTCTCTGGCTCTATCTCTCTGTCAAATAATTAAACAAAATCTTAAAAAAAGAAAAAAGAATCATGAGGTCAATAAGGATGAGGAGCCTGCGATTCTAATCCCAACCCAACCACTGAACCACTGTGGGTCTCTGGGTAAGTGGCTCCCCTCTCTGGGCCTCAGTTTATCTCTTCAAAGGATGGGACTAAGGGGCCCCACCATATGAGTATGTCAGCGATGAGATTACCTGCATGGCCTACAGCGTGCCTGGTATGCAGCAGGCGCTGCATCCATGGTTATTCTGATCCTTGCCAGGGTGAGGCTGAGGACTGTCCTTCTCATGTCCATCTATCTCTGATTTCTAGCCCCCGTGGATTGCCCTCCCTTTGTTCTGGGTGTACAGCAGCCCAAAGCGGGCTGGCAGCTCTCCAAGACTCCTGGCACTGGGAGTCATCTGTGTGAGAGGAGGTGCTGCAGGGAGGGGGCCCAGGATGCCCACAGCTGGGGAAGGAGGTGGTCTCGGCTGGGATGGGGGCAGTCACCCAAAGAGCTGCAGGCATCCGTTATCCTTGGCAGGGCCGGCCAGCAGCAACAGGTCTGGGAGTTCCAGGGCTGGACTGGAGGCTGCCACCCCCATGGTGACCTTGTTGGCGACTTCTCCTAACCGGGTCACCTGGGGCCAGGGATTAGAGGTTAGAAGGCAGATAGATGGAAGGCAGGAATGGTGGGGTTAAGGGTCATGAGCCAAGTGTATTAAATAAACACTGAATCTGAGGTCAGAAATCCTGGGGTCAGAAGTCAAGAGTTATCCAGGTGTGAAGTCAGGGAAAATGAACCAAGGGAATCAGAGGCCAGGGTTCACAGAGAAGCTAAAGGTCTAGAGGCATGGGGGTGGGGGTTGATCCAGAATGCCAGGAGATGAACATTATGGGAGAATGCTCAGAAGTCGACAGGTCAGGGGTTCCCCAAGTCAGGAGGTCAGGGCTCAAGGTAAGGCTCTGTGTCAGGGGGTTCTGGGGCTCCACACCTGTACAAAGTTGCTCTCAAAGATGGGGAAGTCTCGCAGCTGGTCGAACTCGCCGCTCAGGAGGTGGCGTTGGAGCCGTCCGGGCCGGCCCGTAGGATAGCCCGGAACCAGGGGGCATTCTAGAGGGGCAAAGTTCAGGGGTCTAGTCCAGGAGACTGGGCCGGGAGCCCCTCCAGCTGGCAGGGCCCAGGAAGTCCCCCTCTGCCAGTAGGGGAATCCTGGCCATCAGTTTTCTCAACGCCAGCCCCATCCCTCACCTGGTTCCCTCACCTGGTCCAAGCCAGTCAGGCCCGGCCCCGCCTCTCACCTGCCATCCCACCTGGTCCCTCCTCACCTGTTCCACTGGGGGCCGGCTTAATCTCGTGCCCCCGCATCATCGCAACGCCCCGCCCCATGGGGAGAGCGGAGGGAGGTGCCGGCAGAGAAAACGGGTGGGTGGTGCCGCGGGCTCTACACGTCACAACGCGGCGGACCAGGTTTAAACGTCACCGAGGAAACGCCCGCCGTTGTGACGTCATCATAGGGGGGCGGTGCCCAGATACCTGGATGAAGCTACCGCCACCCGGCTGGCGTCAGAACCCTGTAAAGGGAGGGCGCTAGTGCGCAGGCGCAAAGAACGGGCGCAGGCGCTTGCGCGGCAAGCTCCCCGCGCCCGGCTCGTTCCCTACCCTGGCCTGATGGGAAACGGTCAAAATGGCGGAGGTCGGTGTGGTGGCTACTCGCCTCCTCCTAATATTGCTGATGTCAGCAGCAGTCCCCAGCCGGGCCCGGGGCAGTGGCTGCCGGTCTGGAGCCGCTCTGCGGGGGGTGAGTACTCATTGGTTCTGCACAGGGTGCGGCGCTGACGGAAAGCTTGGGTCTCGGGTGTTTAGGTCCGGTAAAGTGGGAAGGAGGTATTGCAGGGCCAAGAGAGAAGAGGTGAAAGGGAGTATGGTTAGGAAGGCTCTAGCTCATGAGTATGCATGAGAGGGCGGGGCTCGGATGGACTTGGCACCTGGGCTTTCGGTGCTTTAAAAACGAGGATGCGCCGAAGGAGGTTGGGGCAAGAACCCGGTGTTAACGTTGGAACGCCGGGAATCCGCAGTCGTTAAATATGCATGAGGAGGTGTGGCCCTGGTGAGCTTTAGCAAATGAGACGTAGGGGCGGCTAAAAGGAAAACAGCGGAGAGGCTCTGGAGTGATCGGATAGGTGCTTCCTGCATATGCATGAGGAGGGCGGGTCTTGATTTGGAGGTTTAAAATCTGGACACGGAGTTGCGCAGGTGTGAGGGTTGCGTAGGTGCAAGGGCGTGGTTGGAGGATGCAGAGGTAGGAGAGATTTGAATTTGGAGAAGTGGATGGCGTGGGGGCGCCTGGGTGGCTCAGTGGGTTGAGCCTCTGCCTTGGGATCAGGTCATGATCTCAAGGTCCTGGGATCGAGCCCCGCATCTGGCTCTCTGCTCAGCAGGGCGCCTGCTAACCGCCCCCTCCCCCCGCCCCCGCTCTCTGCCTGCCTCTCTGCCTACGTGATCTCTCTGTCAAATAAATAAATAAAATCTAAAAAATTTTTTAAAAATTAAAAAAAAAAAAAAGTGGACGGCGTGGAGCCTTAGGAGCCTTAGCCTAAGGAGCGTCTTTGTTGTGGCTGTTAAGGTGTAAACGAGGCCACTTGTAGGGGCGCCTGGGTGGCTCAGTCGTTAAGCGTCTGCTTTTGGCTCAGGTCATGATCTCAGAGTCCTGGGATTGAGTCCCACATCAGGCTCCCTGCTCGGCGGGAAGCCTGCTTCTCCCTCTCCCGCTGCTTGTGTTCCCTCTCTGTCTCTCTCTCTCTGTCAAATAAGTAAATAAAATCTTAAAAAAAGAGGCCACTTGTATATTAGGTTGGGAAGGAACCTCAGGTATCCTTTAACCCATGAATGTTTACGATGCTAGGCATGAAGATACTTGCCTTGGAACTGGAGATGGTTGCCTTGGAAACAAGGTTACACTTCTTTGCAGGCTTTGGGTTTCTGGGGACCATCCAGATCATGAATTTTCATGAAATGGGCGGTTCCCGTTGGAATCGCGGTGGACAGGTGTCAGTGTTTGGATATGAATATGAAAGTAAGGTTCCTCTTTCAGCCTGAGTCTGTCTTGGGGTCTGGCGGTCCTGCCTTCTGCCTCGGGCTCTGATGGTCCTCATCTGGGGACCTCTCTTTCACCTGCAGGCCGGAGCAGAAGGTCGAGAGGGTGAGGGCTGTGGCACGGTGGGGCTGCTGCTGGAGCACTCATTCGAGATCGGTGAGTCTAGCAACGTCCTAGTCTGGGTACTTAGCTGGTGTCCTGTGAAGTCAAGAACTTGGGTCTGGATGCCACCCAATGTGAGACACGCCATCCGTTTACTGAAAGCTTTGCCCCTCCGAATGTGTTTGCATTATTCCGGGGAGGTTGGGGCAGGGAGGGCATGAGAGAGAAGGAACTCTTCCTTTGAATGCTCCCTTTACTGTAAGACACATCCTAGTTGCCTAGGGGCAACCGTAGAGCGGACTTCTCAGACCAGTCACTCTGTGGCCTGCACTAAGTGCTGGATGTTCTGGGTGTATTCACTCTAATGCCCTCCCCACAGCCCTGCAATGTCTAGGTATTAGAGCCCCATTTTCCAGAATGGGAAGCAGGCCCAGAGGGGCATCACATCTGTAAGTGAATGGTAGAGCCAGGACCTGCTCTCTAGCCCAGCTTAAACCACTACAGTTCAGGTGTTCAGATTCCCAGAGCACAGAGGTCACTACAGTCCAGAGGTCTGAGCCCCCAAACTCTGGGGCACTTATTAGAAACGCTGAAGCCGGGAGCCTCCACAGACCTCCTGACAGACCTTAGCCTCTGCTCGGGAAAGCCCCACTAGTTCTGACATGGCCCCATGGGTGGAAGCCCCTCTGTTCTGCAGATGGGAGAACTGAGGCTCAGAGGGATGAGGTGACCGTCCCTGGGTCACCTGGCGAGGCAGAGGCAGGGCTTGGAAGCTGCGGCATTTAGACATCTGCCGTCAGCTGCCCTGTGGGATAGGAGGGCGGGACGTGGTGGGGGGTGGGGGGTCCCCACTTTGCAGGTGGGAACATGGGGGCTTGGGAGGGGGAAGCAGCCCGGTCATTGCAAGGGTCGTGGGGTTCAGTGGTGGGGCAGTTGCTGAGTTCTGACTCCCCACAGAGGATAGCGCCCACTTTCGGAAGCGGGGCTCACTGCTCTGGAACCAGCAGGATGGCACTTTGTCCCTGTCGCAGCGGCAGCTCAACGAGGAGGAGCGGGGCCGGCTCCGGGTGAGGAGAGCACCCGGGGCTTGCTTGGGGTGTGGGGGGACCTGTGCCTTGGACCACGCCATGCGTGTTTCAGGGCCTTTGCCCTTTGCCTGTGCCATTCCTTCTGCACAGCACATCCTTTTCTCCCATGGTTTTCATATCGTTGCTCCTCTCGCTCCTCCAGGTTCAGTCAGGATGCTTTACAGTCAGTTAGAAGGAGATTTGCTTGGGAGGAGAAAGAGATCCCTGGAATGGCCACAGTTAAACAAAAGAAGGTTATTTCTATCAGAGCCCGTCTTGTGGCTTCCTCAAGGCCAGGCTCCTGCCAGGCCTGGCTTGGTCCTCCCTAGGGATGGTGCATGGAGGTACAGTAGGCCAGAGGAAGAGAAAAATGAGGGCTAGAGGGAGAAGTCGTCTTTTGGGGGTGGCCCACAAAAGCTGCCACAGTGCCCTTGCACTCTCTCCCTTTGGCCGGATGTAATTGCCTGGGCGGCTGGGGACGCAGGTTTCATCGTGGGCAGGCACGTGCTGGTGGGTGCCCTTCCTGTGGGAGGTAGTCCATCCTGGCCAGCCGTGCTTTGTGCTTCCCACGTGGTTCTTTGTCACAGCTGTCACTTCTGTGGCTGGGGAGTCCAGATATGGGGTAGGCCTAGGTGCAGCTGGATCCAGGTTTGAGGAAAATGTCCTTGGGACTCACTTCATCCCTGGGCTGGGCTCTGCTGCGCTTACAGTGGCTTCTCCCAAAGGTGGAGTACCCAGTGGCTCCTGGCCTCAGTCACCAGCAGGGCTACCACTGGGCTAGGGATGAGGGGGATGCAGGCGGGTGAGACCCGGGGGAAGGGTCCCCTGGGCCCAGTGGTGGTCCAGGCCTGGCAGGGGCCGTGCATCGTCCTCACTGCCGCCCTCCTCTGCCCTGCAGGATGTGGCAGCCCTGAACGGCTTATACCGGGTCCGGGTCCCTCAGCGCCCTGGGGCCCCTGATGGCTCAGAAGCTGGCAGCTACGTCTCCTCTTTCGTCCCCGCGGTGAGTCAGTGATGGGACCGTCCTTGGGCCCTCCCACCTGCCCCAGCCTGGCTTCCACCATTTGCGCCCTGGAGTTTATGGACAGGAGGACTCAGACCTGGCCTTGCCCTCAAGGGCTGGAGGGGGCATGCGCCGGGTGGTGGGCCCTTTGATGGGACAGCATAGGACTTCATGGGGAGGCTGTTGCACTTGGACTTGTGCCCAAGGGCGGGGGGGAACCATGAAGAGCTTTGAGAGATCCTCTGGGCCCTGTGAGAAGGGTTGGAGGCTTGGGGGTCTTGGTGCAGGCAAGGTCTGGGTGGCAACCCTGATCCCCCTGTTCCCCCCCCACCCCAGTGCTCCCTGGTGGAGTCGCACCTCTCAGACCAGCTGACGCTGCACGTGGACGTGGCTGGCAATGTGGTGGGCGTGTCAGTGGTGACGCACCCCGGGGGCTGCCGGGGCCACGAAGTGGAAGATGTAGACCTGGAGCTGTTCAACACGTCTGTGCAGCTGCAGCCACCGGCCACCGCCCCAGGGTGAGGGCGCGCGGGGTGCGGGTGCTCCAGGGTGCGGGTGCAGGGCAGGGGCGTGGGCAGCACCCCCCCATAACCTCCGCCTCAGTCATCCTGCTGCTGCCCTTGCTGTGTCCTTGTTGGCTGACCCCGGTCCCATAGCCTGTCTCCTCCGCCCACCCCTAGTCCCGAGACCGCGGCCTTCATTGAGCGCCTGGAGATGGAGCAGGCCCAGAAGGCCAAGAACCCGCAGGAACAGAAGTCCTTCTTCGCCAAATATGTGAGTAGAGCTCTGCCTGCCCCTGGTCCCTTCCCTCCTGAGTCCCCCTCTGCCCTTCTCTCCCCTGTGGCCCTTGGCCTGTTCCTCTTCCTCCTGGCCTCCTGTGCGTGGGGCTTGCCTGTCGCCTCCAGGCCTGTCCCCTGGCACCTGGGCTGAGCCCAAGGCCTGGATGGAGTCGGGGAGGACGGTTGAGCTGTGCTCCTTGCCTCTGCCTTGGTCTTTTCCTGGCGGCGGTCACAGGGTATCCAGGCTCAGCACGTGACCTGCCCAGAGCCAGGCCGCTCTGGGAAGCGGGGGCAGCCTTTCAGGCTGGGGGCAGGTGCGGTACAGGCCGTGTTGGTGTTGAACAGAGGCCTGTCTGGAGGAAGGGCAGTGAGGAGGGCAGTGGTCAGGGGAGGGACGTGGTCAGTACTAGGAGGGGCTGGGACGAGGCCTGGGCTGGGACAAAGCTTAAGCCGGGCGGGTGCTGTGAGGCTGAAGAAGGGAGGGAGGCAGAGATTGCAATGGGTTGGGGGATTTGGAAAGGAGAGGACAGGTGGGGTCCTCCAGGTGGGGCTGGGATGCCTTTGGCTTTGGGAGGGCACAGTTAGGGGAGGCAGGGCTATGGGTGGAGATGTTCAAGAGGCTGGTCTGGAGCTGGAGAGGGGACGGGCCTGTGTTGCCAGGCCGGGGCTGGTAGGAGGAGCTGGGGGCACTGATGCAGAAGGGTGGTCTACCCAAGACAAGGGCAGGGGACAGCAGAGGCCACTGTGGGTGGGAGGATGCCAAGCCTGACTGCCTTGAGTGTGGTGCCAGCGGGGCCTCAGGTTTGCCAGCAGCTCCTGACAGCTGCACTGCGGGGAAACTGAGGCCCAGAGAGGCCAAGAACCCACATGCCCCGGCTCTGCCCTCCCCAATGGCCACAGGACCCCATGGCCACCCCTGGCCCTGACCTGTGCCCCCTCCCTCCTCAGTGGCACCTCATTCTCGGGGGGGCTGTGTTGCTCACAGCCCTGCGTCCTGCCGCCCCGGGGCCCACGCCGCCGCCGCAGGAGGCCTGAGTGAGGACTGAGCCCCCTCCCGCCTCCACCCCACCCTGCACCCCACCAGCCCTTCCCCAACCTGTAGTGATGTAGGGGACCTGGGCCCCCTTCCCTCACGTGGCCTCCCCTTATGCCGGCTCCCCCACCTTCCCTGCCCTGGCAGAATCTGGCTCATACTCACTTCTCTTCTTTCTGTCTCTCTCTTTGTCTGTCTGTCCACCGTCCCATCCTCCCGTCTGGCTACAGTGGATGTACATCATTCCTGTCGTCCTGTTCCTCATGATGTCCGGAGCACCAGACGCCGGGGGCCAGGGAGGGGGCGGTGGCGGGGGAGGTGGCGGGGGCAGTGGCCGCTGAGGGCGGGGGGCATCAGCGCCTGGTCTTCTTTCATGCAGGCAACCCCCTCCCGCCAGAGTGCTCTTGTCCTTGATCATCCCAAGAAAGATTTGCTAGCTCCCCCTATCCCCATCCCGTGATGGTAGGGGGATACTCCTCCCAGGAGTCCTTTCCCTCTAGGCGGACAGGTGGCCAGATTCTGGCGTACCCTGCCTTCCCCTGTGATCCTTCCATAGCGGCAAAGGCTTCCTCTTGGCCACAGCATGGAGCTCGAGCTCCTGGTCCAGCTCTGACCTTACGTTTTTCCCCCTTCCCCTGAGCCTTGTAGTTTGGGAACATGCCGAGTTCTCTCCAGCCTCTGTGCCTTTGTTCATGGTCTTCTTGCCCTGCCTGTCCCAGGCCTGGCTAGAGGGTCCCCCTAACTTGTCTGACTAGATTGGGCCACACACTTTCCACCTGTCTGCCCTTGAGGGGCCTGGCATAGAGCAGGTGTGGGCTGGCTATGGGCATCCCTTGGCCCCATTCCAGCAGCCCTGCCTTGGGACCCCGCTTCGGCCTTTATCTGCCCCTGGCTCCAAGCAGGAGTTGGGGTGTCCTGCCCTGTCTGGGTGCTAGGCCTCCCACAGACTTTGGGGCATACAGAAATGTTTAAAGTAAAAACAAAGTAATATCTGGTAGAGTTGAGAGCCGATGATGTAAATAGAATCCCTTCCCCGGCCTGGAATGTCTTCCCTGGGACAGGCCACCAGGAGAGGACTACTGGCCTTTCCTATTTATCATCCCACCCCGCCGATCTATTTAAAAAATACCGACAATCTATTGAAATACATCAATGTTTCAAAAAGGTATGACTTCCAGCAACCAAATGCAACCGTTGATTTGGTTGCAGGGAAGTCCTTATGTACAGGCTTTATTGAATTTTCCTCTTCGCTCTGTGTATTATCCAGAAACACACAGAAATGGCTGTCACGGTCGCTGAAATGTCTGTGTATTGCTTTGTGGTGTTGTATGGCGGTTTATTAAACTGTTCCCCAAATGTTCAACATTTAGCTTCCTGCTGGATATGGTTATAAATAGCACGGCAGCGAGTGCTCTCCAGTCTCTCTTTGGTGAGTGTGAATTATTTCCTGGGGATGCATGGCCAAAATCATGATGGCAGATCAGAAACATTTACGAGAAAGTAATGCGTTCGTGTGGCTCGACTATCAAAACAACATCAAAGGTGTGTGGTGGACCGGTGTCTCCCCCAGTTGCTTTCATTTGCTTAACTTCTCCATGTGTTAGCCTGTGCTGGCGGGGTGGGTAGGGAGGGACACACGCTCTCCGTTCTTTGTAATGCAGAAGTAGCAAATCCCCTCGATCGCCTCGCCCTTGCCTCTTGGCTCCTGCACCCTAATGTTCTGGAGACTTCTCCTAATGGGGGAGTGGCCTCGTCCTTGCACCCCACCAGAGACCTGCACCAGAGTTCATTCAACCTGGCCTCTGCCTGCGGCTGTCACTGTTTCCCGGATGCAGATGTAACCAGGATAAAACCCCAGCAGCAGAATGACCGGCCAGAGGAAGGTGGCATTTGTATAAATGTGACCCATGTTGCTAAGTTGCCCCCCATCGAGCAGACTCCGGTCACCATTCCCCCACGGCCTTGCCAGCAGATGGCTCAGACCTCTCCGTGTCGTGAGGCTCTGATCTGTGTCAGGAGGGAAGTGGAGCCCGGTAGCACCACTGGGATTTTCTGGGAACCGTTCTTGTCCTTTGCTCAAGGGCAGCATTTAGGATTTTGAATTCCTCTTGTGATTTGTCTGATGTTGCTGACACCTCAAGCCACCCCCGCCTGTTTTCTGGTCCCTCTGGATTCCTGTCCTGCTGTGGCCCTTTCTTTGGCCCTTCTCTTCCCTCTGACCTCGATCCCAGGGGCCAGCCACTCCCTGCTGTGCTGCGACAAGTGGCCTGAGAGTCCCAAACAGTCCCACTGATTTGCAGTTCTGCAGTATTTTCTTCGACTGTGTTGTGTTACACACCCACCAGCAGTGGGGGTTATCATTCGACCCATTTCTTTGTGGCTTCAATGCGTAAAACAGTGTCCAAAGGGTGCTCTAAGATGGGTGTCTTTCCCGTCTGCGTTCCATGTGAATTGCCCCCATGGTGTTTACTGCTGCTTTCTTAGACAAGGTTCAGACTCAGAATTCCTAACCCTTTGCCTCGTTGGCAGGTGCATTCTTGCCCCAGGCATTGGTTGGACCATTTTCTAATTCTGTCATGGACTGAGATTGAGCTCTTTACCCATCTGATTACCTCCTTTTCCTGTAGGACTCTCTAGATCCCTCTGGAGCGGGCAGAGCTCCTCTGCAGTGTACTCCAGCCACTGAGTTGGCACAGGCTCCGTGGGGCTCTGTCCTCATGCAGCTTTTCTAGTACTTGCCTCTTCAGGGAGAGCTCACTTACTATTTCGTTTTCTTGACCAGGGTGTCTGGGGATATAGCACGAAACTCAAAAGACACTGTAGGATCCAAAGCCAAGAGCCTTCTGCTCAGCGCAGACTGGTACCTGTTCCCCTCACCGAGGGCGGCCTGACTGGCCGGTCTCCTGCTCATAGCTCTGGAGATACTCTCCACATAAACAAGCAAACGTCTATGTAAATCATTTTTACAAAAATGTGTAGCTCTAGTTTTGTTTTGTTTTTAAAGATTTTATTTATTAGAGCGCACAACAGGGTGGTGGGGGGAGAGGCAGAGGGAGAAGCAGACTCCCTCCTGAACAGGGATCCTGATGTGGGACTTGATCCTGGGATCGTCACCTGAGCCAAAGGCAGATGCTTAACAAACTCATATGCCCAGGTGCCCTGTAGTTCTAGGTTTTTTTTTTCTCTCTCTCTGAGTTGGAGAGGTTTCCATCTTGGCTGTAAAGTGCATCCTTCTGTGATGTGGCTGGCTCGGAGGTGACATCATTGGTCCACGTGGAGGGACCCTCGGGTTGTTGCAAGCAGAGCTGCAGGGATCCCCGTGTGCACACGTGCACGTATGTCTGCAGGACATGCTGCCAGAGGAGGACTTGCTGGGGCAGTGTCGGGCACCTCCCATCCACACTGGAGCCCCTCTTGCCGACTATCCTCAAACCCATCTCCCGCTCAGACTCCCCTCCTGGTCTCCAGACCCATGGCTCCTTCCCCAGGCAGTGCTGCCCGGAGAGTCTCTGCCACCCATCCGCCCCCAGTCGGAGCTCCTGCAGGAATCCTACCCAGTAAGTGGTGCCACCATCTGCTTGGCCTCATAGGCTGGAGCACTGCGGTGCCCGACTCTGCTGTTCCTTCCTGCCTCACCCCTTGTCCTGTCCCCCATGGCCCCAGCCCTGACCTCATCCTTCCCCACCTGGACCTGTCAGCCCAGCCTCCTCCCTGGCCTTGTGGGGGGACTTCTGACACCAAAGCTGCCCCCTCCCCACCCCTCCTCTGTTCCTAGCCCTCCCATGGCTGCCCAGTGCCCTCAGGGCAAAGTCCCAGCCCCTCAGCCTGGCTTTGGAGTTGTGTTAGTTTCCAGTCTGTTCCTCTTTTTCAGCCTCACTGAGGAGCACCTCCCAACCTTAATGAGTCCCTCAGATATCACCCTCTATGCCCCCTCTGTCTCTCCCTCTCCCTCTCCACGGAGCTCAGTGCCCACTGTCTCCCTCCTGTGCCTTTCCCCCGGCCTCCTGACCTGTGGTCTAAGATGTCAGAGCACCTGCAAGGTAAATGCTCAGTGAAAGGACGGCCTCCCTCTCCAGTTTCCTGCCTCACCCTTTGGATGCGCTTCTTTGCCCCACAAAATGTTACTGCTCTCTGGCATTTAGGAAACCCTTTTCCCCAGCCCAGCATTTCCTATGGTCATTTAGGTATACGTAGCGCAGTTATAGGACAGGCAATCTTTTTAAATATATAAGGCTAACTTTAGTATTTGAAGACTTTACTATCCCAAATTGTGCACCGTAGCAGGTGGCTTTTGGAAGGAGTTCTATAGGCGTCTTTATTTAACCCATCAGAGAGATGCCATGGTGAGAATCGGGGACTAATCCCTGAGGCCTCTTTAGCTGTCAGTCATTCATCTTTGCCTGCACCCACCTCCCAGTCAGCAAGGCATAATGGTGTCATTACAAAGAAAAACTCGATTTGGCCCGATTCCTAGAAATAGGCTCCCAAGCAAACTGTAAAGCAAATCCCACTTTCCTTAGTTTCCCACAGTGGTCATGTATGCGTTTCCGTGGCAATGCAGAGGGGAAGCCAGCCATAGGATGACTTGAAAACACGAAGTCAGTCTGGAGGTGTACGTTGGCACGCTATGAAGCTTGCTGGGTACCGTACCATATTGACCAGGAGTAAAAATTTTCATTTTTGCAGAGTTTTACTTGAGACCATTCCTGGTGTCTAATACAGCTTGGTAACAGTTCCGTCTTCTATCAGTAGGTGGCGATAAAGGAGTTCACCCTGCTTGAGAATGCCCCTCAGGCCCATAGCATGCTGGGCTGGATACTCTGGGGAGGTCAGGCCCTTGTGGACCCTCTCTCTGAAGAAGAGAGCTTTTCAGGGGGTGCTCTCGGCCCTTGAGAAGGTTGGGGTTCCCATGAAGCCTCTGTCTTAGCAGGTGCTGGACTTCAGGAACACGGGTGCCTATGTTCCCAACTGCGAAATGGGATTCAGGTGAAGTCCTCCCATGCTCCATGCTTCCTGAGGAAGAGAAGATGGTGGCAGGTTGGGGAGAATGGGGCAGAAAGGAGGCAGCCCCCTTCTCAGCAAACTCAGACAGAAGTTGAGGGATCAGGAGAGTGGAGAAGGAGCCACTTCCTGGCCAACTGTAGGGCGGTTCAGCCCTTGCCAGCCCTGGCACTTACGTGCAAGTGTCTTTAGGCAACTCCCTATCTCTGAGCCAGCTCCTCATTTCCTCCTTCCTAGGCCGGCGGCAGGCGTCCTTCCTCCAGGCAGTGGGCAGCATCCAGGACAGACAGAAAAGAGAGAAAATGGGTGTCACACAGGCCCTTCCACCCTCGGGGGTGGGAAGGCCTGGCTTGGCAGCCCTGTTCCAGGCTGCACAGATCCCTGGGAGGATGTCAGCTCCGAACTTCAGGAAGGGAGAGGGAAGGAGGGGAGGCAAAGGGAGAGGATCTCGGAGTTCGTGCTGAGGATGTGGCTGGCAGAGCCTGGAGGGGCCTCCCTGACACTGGGAGACAAGGTGCAGAGGAAAGGAGGCCAGTGGAGGGGAGAAGTCTGGGAGGAGAGAAGAGGTGACATTCAAAAAGGAGAGAAAGGAAAGAGCGAGAGAGACTGGAAGGGGGGGGGAGAAGAGAAGGGGGGAGAGAGAAGGGATGGAGATGAGCAAGAGGGGAGCAAAGGGGAAAGATGAAGAGAAAGTGTAGGGGGAAAAAACGAATGAGGAGAGGGGAAAAGGAAGCGAGAGATGAGAGAGAAGACAGGCTGGGGTGGGGGGCGGCCCCGAGCGAAGCAGGCGGAGAGGGGTGAGGAAAGGAGACCGTGGCGGGGAGAGCGAGGCTGGGGGAAGGAGAAGGAGGGAGAGAGACGATGGGACAGAGTCGGAAATGGAAGGCCGGGCGGAGGAGCGGCCCGGGAGCAGCCAAGGCAGACGGGGTAAGAAGGCCCAGACGGCGGGAGGGGAGAGGGGAAGGAAAGGGAGAGAAAGGGGGAAGCAAGGAGCGGAGAGCTTGCTGGCGGCCCGGATGCAAAGGCCAAAGCCGAGCGGGACAGGGGAGGAGAGCGGAGGAAGGGAACACAGCAGGCGGGAAATAGAGAAAAGGAGAAAAATGAATACGGGAGTGTGGAGAGACAGCGAGCGTGCGAGCGGGCCGGCAGGAAAGAGAAGAGCAGAGGCGGGGAGAGGCCGAGAAAGGAGGGGTGTGAGGGAGGGGCGAGGAGCCGGGCGCGGGGAGAGGAGGTGAGAGAGACGTGGAAGAAAATTGAGAGGGGAACGCCGAAGCCCGAACCGAGAGGAGTGAGGTGTGTAGTGCGGGTGGCGGGACCGCACCGCGGGAGAGCGCGAGGAGGAGAAGGGGTGCGCGGAAGGCGGCGGAGGGAAACGGCGGGAAGAGCGGCCAGAGCGCGCGCGCGCCCCGACGCCCGGGCC